ATCTCACGAACTGATAACCTTAATTGGATGCTGAGAAATATAACAGAAACAGTTTTAAACAATGTAATCAATAGGAGGCTTTAACTAACAACATTCTGAATCTTTAAATGCAATGAATTACAAACGACAAAAAATTAATTTACATTTGTAAAATGTCGTCATTGGTATGTATGGAAGTAAAAACCTTTTAAATAATGTAACAAGTAGGAATCTTTAAATAATGTAACAAGTAGGAATCTTTAAATAAGGTTTAGCATTAGTGTATTTAGTAATAGTTTACCTTCAAAGATATAAAAATCGCATGATTTCGTCATTTTTATGATATCTCATGCATTGTCTATTATTTATTAGATGTATTAAAATATTTAATAAAAATAACCATGAACACATATACTTATAAAAAAAAAGTTGAAAAAGCTATTTCTACTGCGACAGCGCGTTATTACTTTTGTTAGTAAAATTTCAGTGCCATTTCCCAAATATAATATGTTTTTTATTTCATTGATAACTAAATTCATATAGCAATAAAATGAAATTCTTCCCATCGGAAATGAAAAGGCGATAGTATTATGAAACATTTTTCATCATAGAATTGCGCTGTCGTTTCGGAAATCCCATTACAGACCACATGCGGCGAGTTGAATGCTTTTCGACCCCTTGTGCCTCGCCTCGTAAATGGTTACGAGGGTTAATCGATGTTTACCCCACTAATGTTTTACTGTTTACAATTCCCTTAAGAATTCCTTTTTGATTTCCGACGATTTTTAACATTATCTTGATAGACTTTGGCATGATTTAGACTAGATTGGGTTTTAGTTTTTGTAGAAATGTCCGCTCTTATCATTCAACTTGCTTAGGACAATTGCGTTTTTCGCTTTTTTATCCAAGCTTCATGGACACCCGGCTGTTAAGCGGCAAACCTAATGATTTTTTTTGTCCAAACCATGGAACATTAAAAGCTCAACCGGATTTTGTTTTTGTCGCGAAGATGCCGTGTGGAACGAAATTCTCTGCTCGGTGCATTAAAAACAGTAACGTTTTCATTTGAGGATGCTACATCTATTTGTGGTGTAAAGAACGCCAGACGACTTAAGATTTAGCAACGGGCAACTGATGAAATTTAAATTTTGATTGGATCTCACTACGGACAGTTGTATTGAGATAAAAATCGTAAACTTCAACAGTTCAAATATTTCTTCATTAACAGACTAGGTCACTGTCTCGCTCGCCAAATCTATTCTTTGTATCATCAGTTTGCACTGCTAGAACGGTTTCAAATATTCAGCGATAATTAGTCTGTCGTTATGCAAGATTTAAAAATAAATTGTTTTTCGTGGGTAACATATGAGAGAGAAGAAATCGCGTTGGCAGTTGGCACTCTCTGTCATGGGCCGTTGAGCGCGCAAGCGCAACGGCCGCGTGGAGTCGCGTGCACTGATTGGTCGGCGCGAATGGCGTGATGCGGACACGACCTACGGCGTGGTGTCGTCAGTTGTTTGCTGTCGTAGTAAGGTGCTGCCCTCATGCGGCACACCCGCTTACCAACAGCTTTCCTATCTAATGTGGCTGTGACCATATCGTTATTTAATAAAAATATAACCCAAAATTTATTGTATTTTTTAATAGTGTCGAGATGATGAAATCTTAGTTTATTAAGCAATAAATGAGTCAGTAGGCTCGATAACGTGAGTCGAAATAAACATCCGGTCGGCGGTGACAAGGCGCGTGCGGGGTGACGTAGCGCCGCAGTGTCTGGCGCCAGCGTCACGCCACGCGCGATGCCTGACAACGTCACATGATGTGCTTTGAAGGTCACTAGAATGATCAATATGAACTAAGTACACGCTCTATTTAAATAAACGTGAAATCATCTCCCGTTATCTTTAGTCAAAATAACTGTGAAATCTTTAGGAATATTGATTAGTAAGGAATCGTGCTTTATTATCGCGTCAGACTAGATTGTTCGATGTGTTCAATGACCGTGGTCGTATGGTCATCTCTGTCTAAATACAACTAGCGAGCTGTGTACTATAAGTTTTCAGTATAGATCATTTACACACATTACTCAATCTATCGATACGATTTATCAATTTTACCGACCCGTGTTTAACATTTATAAAACCACAATAATAAATTGTAAATATAAGAAATAGTTTATCTTATAGATATTCGCACAAGTTAGTAAGCTGGAACTGTAGTATTTCAGAAATAGATTGTTATACAGGGGCCCCCGAAATTTTGCATGTTTCGTTGTCGTTCAACAGCTTGTTAATTAATTTTATCGACATTGGTTACAATTCATTAAAATATACACAATCAGGGCAAGTACAGTACCTACAAAATACTGCCACGACTGACTTTTTGTGACCTCGTGTAGTTTAAACTGCTTTACCGATTTTAATGAACATGGTGTCATTCGATTATTATTTTGTCCGAAAATGTCATCGGACAACGGCGGTTGTTACCAGTTGTTTTTAATATATGTAATGATAGATGATTTTTTTTTATATTATATCGTTACCGTTGTCCATAGACATGCGCAATTGCATATGCGTTGCCTACCTTTGACGGGGCAGAGGATGCACAGAAAGAAAATATTTTCCCTTTCCATGCAATCTCTCATCCGGAATGTCCACTTCCACTTCCCATCCTTTCCTTATAAGAAAAAAGGTGGGAAGGGAAAGAGGACTAAATTAGGCCTTTGGGACGCACACTCATCAGACGAAATACGGTATTTACTCCGTTGATTAGTATTTACTCCGTTAATTGATATTTTTATTGATTTTTGATAAAATCACTGGTTCATATTTTTAATTATCTGTAACGGTTGAGATGTACTTATACTATACAAATAACACAGGTTGCGAAAGTTTCGAACCGGACCGATATCGGAACACTTTACATGATTAGACTTTGTTAATATTTGTAAATAAAGTGGGACAGTAAACCTTACGTTCAAGTGAGTACCTTGTCGTGTTGCTTGAACGCAAGAAAGTTAATCAGGTATTTCATTGCTGAGTATGGCTTTCTATCGGCACTCTGTTCATGCGCACAGGCGAATGCTTCAAATCTTTATAACAGTTTTTCACTTTCACAATCAACAATAGGTTATTATTAAAGAAAATATTTTATCAACTAACAGTTACTTCAGCACAGTTTCTATATCCGTTATAACGCTATTTAACGGTTACGTAATGATATTTTCATATTTATTACATTGCAATTTTGTTTAATCCTTGTTCTTATCTGTCCCAGTTATTGCCTAGGGTATGCTAGTTAAATGTTGAAATTGACACGATCTTTGAAAAAGAAGAATTTGTTGATTATAACACAAAGCTTTTGTTGAAGACGAATTATGACGCTTTTATTCCATAGGACTCGGCACCGGTGGGGCACAATGCTGGCCCAAACAGTAGGGGACGTGTATAAAGGAATGATTTATTTTACTGTCAAAACGCTGCCGTGTTATAGGAACAAATATAACATATTATTATTGTAAACGATGGGTCGCTGTTTGTATAATCTTAGGGTAGATTACTATAGAATTTTGCAGTGGCATTGTTATGCAGTAAGATTAAATAGACTCTCGTAAGTTTAGGTGTTATGGTAACATTTCAATGGTTGTTCCTAACACTAGAGAAATAGTAGCATTACTTAAAGTAATATGAGTTATTCTCAAGTATTTTACTAGTGAGATATTGCATTTGTCGAAAGCGTCTCGAAATATTTCGCAACTATCTGCAAAGTTTCAGTTGTGTACACTGTAATCTTATCTACCTCATATGTAGGTGCGAACCGCACCCTAAGTCTTCCTCTTATGTTCGCAAATACTTATTTACATAATAACACTGATATATAAGGTAATAGTCAACATCAACATTGATAACAGATTACCGTTACGATTGCAATATAAAAATTGCCAGCCAGCGTGTTTTTTTATTTTATTAAATTTGCGTTGGATGGATTATTAAGATTATTATACGAATGCAAATGCATGACATGACCTTTTGCATCGCCTTTATATTATTAATATATCCTGACAATCATTATTCATGTAGTATTAAGTGTTTAGTGAATCTTACGACACTGGTCAATTCTCATTAACCGTACTGTAGTAAAACTTTTTAAGAAATTTATTCGCATTTGTGTATTCATTTGTTTTCAATATTAATATATTCGATACCAGATTTAATTCAATTACAGGTTTTATAAAAGACACTCGGTTTTACGAATCTTTACACAGGACTTTGAATTATTTTATGCTACATATGCACAACTGGCTATTTTGAGCAGAAAGTGTGGCATTGATTGAAACATTACAAACTATACTTCATATAGATATGCAACCTTATAATGACCTTGTGAAGGTGATTGGTCTCTCGTTCGCTAAAAGTTCTAAACCGGAATTGAGAAAAAAAACATACGTAAATTAATTATTTTTTGTAGATACATACATGAAAATAAAAACCTTTGGTTGCATAATTTTATACTTAATTAGTTTTTGCCCTCGACTTTGTGCTAAATTAAAAGTGGAATTAAATAGTGATATTGGTAGCTGACTTCCTGCTTGCGATATTAAAATGATTAATTGCGATTTTAAGAGCGGATTTATCAGGCACTAGCTGTGAAGGTAAACATCCTGTGGAAATGTACGATTTACAGATATTTTTAAAGACGTAAATTGAATCTTTGGTCGTAAGATAGTTTTAGGACAACATGATTACATACGTTTTATATAATACTAACCGTGGGCTTCTGATTCTAAAATCATCGTATAAAACATATTGTTACTTTTGTGTTGTCAAAGGATGGCGGTAGGTTTTATAAAGATATTTAGGTCTCAGAAACCCACAGTAAATGATTATGCAATGTCATGATGCCGAAAAAGTTTTAAATCATATTATAAGGTACTATTTCATTATTGGGGCAAGAGGCCCTTTCAATTATCCCCTAATATCTGTCACTGTAATACAAATGCATAAATTATATTTGTTTGTCAGGCGTCCTTGCTGATGTTAAGAGCGAGTTTAACATCGGCGATGACTGGGCTGGCCTGCTGCAGACGGTGTTCGTCATCGCCTACATGGTGTTCGCGCCCATGTTCGGTTACCTAGGCGACCGGTACTCAAGGCGGAAGATCATGGCGGCTGGCGTAGCGCTTTGGACTATGACAACGTTTGCTGGTTCTTATGTAACGGTAAGCATTGTAAAGTTTAATAAAATTAGTTAAGTAGACTAGTTTAGTACTCTGCGATTGAGTTGGCACTTTGGAAAATAGCATATTCTTGTTTCCGATGTGCCAGGTCAAATGGATGTTATCGTTAAAGATTTCCATTACCATAACTTTTAAAGAAAAATAACAGGGTATTTTTTGTAAAATGTTGACAATCCACCAAATATCGTGAAGTGATTTAAATTTGAAAAAGGAGAAATTGATTGATTATGTTGCTTCGCGTCTTATTGTATTATTTGAATAGTAGTGCTCTCTCTGTTAGCATTAGTTTAGATAATATTTGGCATTGTATATGGCGTCTTAGGTCTCTGAAATCAAATGTAAATATTTATACAACCATATCCGTATTTAGATGATATGAGTCACACCGTCTAGTGCTATGCTTGATACTTGTTTTGGCTATTCATAGACTTAATACAATAATCAATCTGATAGCAATCATTGATGAATAGTATACGTGTTAGAACGCATGTTTGAATTACATTCATCAACTTACCTAATTGAGTAAATTGTGCAATTAGATTTATTTTAACCGATTTGTCTTGGAACAACGTAAAAGCAGGAACTTTGGAAGAAATTTTCCAGTATTTGATTAGTCATAAATTATTTTTATGGACAATCTTTTTCACAAATCTACTTAAAAATTTTCTAAAATCATTTATTCAAAATTGTATTTCTTTACTCTTAATATTTTATTTCGACAGAACTATTATTGGTTCGCGGTGTTCCGCGGGCTGGTGGGCATCGGCGAAGCATCCTACTCCACCATCGCTCCCACCATTATCAGCGACCTCTTCGTCGGGAATGTGCGCTCCAAAATGCTGGCATTCTTTTACTTCGCCATTCCTGTTGGAAGGTAAATTATATCCTTAGCTCAAATAAAGATACAATGTAGTGAAACAATAAATGTATAATGTAATTTTGTTTTTAAATTGCGATATAATACATAAGCAAATAGTTTATGACCTTTAGCTTTGATTTGATTTGATTGAGCCCATTTTTTGCGATGATATTTGACCAATTTTCGAAGCATTAAAGATCTAAAACATATATGTTTATATTTCCAGTGGTTTCGGTTACATAGTGGGTTCAGTGGCGGGTGCGATCGCGGGTGACTGGCGCTGGGGTCTGCGTGTGACACCAGTGCTGGGCGCGGCCGCGGTCATCCTTGTGGCCTTTGTGATGCAGGACCCGGAGAGAGGGCAGGCTGAAGAGAGCACTATGAAACCGACGTCGTACGGTGATGATCTACGCGCGCTTGTTAAGAAGTGAGTATAATGTTTGGAGTACTATAACGGGTATTTTTTTTAGACGAGGGCAAAAGAGCAACGGGTCGCTTAAAATTATTTGATCCGATGTCCATGGACATCCGCGCCGCCAGAGGAAACGAAGATGCGTTGCCGGCCGTTAAGGGCGCTCTTTATTTTTCTTTTTCCCAGTCGATTTTGTACATTGCCAGGAATTCTTTTTGCGTATATTTTTCGTGTTTACAGACTCATTCTTTAACTTTCGTTTGGAAAGTATTTTAATTAATTCAAACATTGCAGTATACATTCGCAATGATATATGTACGTTGAACACGAATAACTTCTGTTCTGCCCGATTATGAACAATGTAGCTTAAACGACTTGATAACAATTTTCTTAGTAAAATTATAAAATACAAAATTTTAACTTAAGAAGGCAGTTCAGTTAATACTATATTCAGCGGGAAATTATTTATTTATAACATGTATGTATAAGGAATAATGTTAAATTGATCGTTTTCCGCAAACGTGTAATTATATTTTGTCATTGAAGCATTTCCTCGATTATAGTGTAACATTTAGCTGTAAATTTTCGTTTTATTATATCAAATTTTTACTGCCATGATGCAGCAATTTAATACTTTATAAGTTAGGGGCAGAATTTTACCTAAACCTCACCCCGACCATTGCTGACCACACCCTAACGAAAAAATATGAATTCTTTTGTTAGTGGAATTTTAATGGCATTAATATCCTTTTGAATAATTTTGCTCAGGCAATATTCCGGTCTATTTTTATTTGTCGATTAAAATTTGACTTTTTACGGTATTACCTAATGCAATGGTACATTTAAGAACTATTGCAAACGTGTCTAAATATCTTAATTATAAAATAACTTATCGTTGGTTTCTGTGAATAAAATCCTTGTATACAACATATGGTCATCTCTTTCATTCTCTTTGACAAAACAGAGAAAACAATATGTTTTATAAAGGAATTTTTGTCTCAGCAACCAACGATAAAATCATTAGCAAAGAAACATCAGAGAAAAGTACGTTAACTCACTTACGTCTCTTAAGACTCGAGTAGTAAGAATAAAACGATAAGTGCGATCAATAAATTTCAATTGCACAGTATTTATTTCTTAAGAAATAGTTCATGTCTTGGCTTCTCCTCCCCCCATTTCTCCAGTTTCCTCGTCTTCGTTAGATAACCATTATCTACGTTCCAAAACAAGTCGTCAAGATGGAGATAGATTTTATTCAGATTAAATAGCATTGCAATTGAAACCGCGAAGCACAGCTTGTAATAATTGACTTATATGTCTTTAGTCCGTCGTTCATGCTGTCGACGCTGGCTTTCACATGTGTGGCGTTTGTAACTGGTGCGCTGGCGTGGTGGGGACCACTCTTCATATACCTCGGCCTCAACCTGCAGCCCGGCGTCGCCATCTCAAAGGAGAGGTCAGTACATTCACACACGTACACACAACGTAAGAAATAACATCAGTCTTGAAACATATTCTCGTCTCTCACATTGTCTTTGAATAAACAGAGACAACAATACGTGACAATATAAATAATGCTGCAGTGGAAACCAGCAGGAACACACAATAAAACAGTAATATAACGAAGAAGTTAGTACACGAATAATAATCTATATGTGAATTGTTAAAAGTTCAAAATTAGACATACAGCGATTCTATATCTACACTTCAAGCTAAGTACTGATGTAATTTTCTGAGAAGGAATAAAAGAATATGTTCGATGCAAAAGTGGTTGCGACATTACCATGATACTTGAGGAATAACAACATAGTTATCGTTTTCGCTTTCCTGACTAAATGAAAGTACGAAGCATTTTACCGCAAATAATATTATAATCTAGATATTTTTTCTAACATATTAGATTTAATATCTTCGCAAAAATTGGGCTGATTTTGGGGAAGTCCTAATTAGCATAAAATGAAACAAGAAAGTGTTAAAAGACACAATAAAAGTGTGCATGTCGTTGTTATAATTGCAATAAAAGCGCAGTTGTTTGCGTGTGGGTGTGCGCGTGCGCAGCGTGTCGTTCAAGTTCGGCATAGTGGGTATGTTGGCGGGCGCGTGCGGCGTGCCGGCGGGCGCGGCGCTGGCGCAGCGTCTGCGCGCGCGTCTGCCGCACTGCGACCCGCTCGTGTGCGGCCTGGCGCTGCTCGCCTCCGCGCCGCTCGTCTACCTGGCCCTCATCGCCGTCTCCGCGCACGTCGCCCCCACATACATACTTATGTTCCTCGGCATGTTCACGCTCAACCTCACCTGGTCTATCGTCGCCGACGTCGTCCTGGTGAGCGCTCCCACACCAACTCCCACTCCCACCCCCACTTACCGGACTAAAGTTATTCCAATGGGAGCTACCGTACTCATGATTGTACTGATAGGGGAATGCTTCGCACATCATGTAATCATGCCTGAACGATATGCTAGACGTGTAGCATGTAACTACGATCATTGCTAAACTAGGATAGTTAGTTGTTAAGTATATTTAAGTTTAAGTGTGCAAAACTGACATCCAATCATTTAAATATGATGAATACGTTCATAACTACTTGGACGAGCATGACGTATAATGATTTGGATGTGAGTTGTGCGCCGGGGAGGGAAGGGCGGAGAGCGGAGAGCGCGTGCTGAAGCGGGGGTGTTGCACGTTGGATGCGAAGGGTGTCGCTGGTGTTCGGCGGGATCACGATGGCGTCAGGGCTGGCGGGCGTGCCGCTGGGCGCGTGGCTGGGCGCGGCACTGCTGAAGCGGTTCCCGCGCGCGCACCCCTTCATCTGCGGCGCCGGGCTGCTCGTGTCGGCGCCGGCCATGGCGCTCGGCATGCTCCTCACGCAGTACTATTTCTACGCGCCGTTCGTCTTCATGTTCATTGGCGAAGTCGCTTTGAATCTCAACTGGGCTATAGTTGCCGATATGTCGCTGGTAAGAACCGCGGTAGTTTTTCTGTGTGTTTTAAAATATGTCTCGATATTTTATCTGTGGTGTTGGTCGATTCAGGGGGATTCACAATTTAGTTTTTTTTCGGTGAATATTAAATTACTTCAAAAATTAATTTATGAAAACTTTCAACATTGTTTCAAATCAAAATACTGGGTCCGTAATTCATCTGTGCTATTTATACTTTTTTGATATTGATGATGTAATTTAAAACACATGAAAACTGTGCATTACATTTATAGTATTGAAGGTAATGTGGTGGCATTAGCTGTTAGTGCATGATATTCACTATTAAATCTTTACCATATTCTATAGCACGCTTGTTTCGCTTCCATTCAATATCACGAAATCAGTCACTCATGAGTACGTTTCGAGTAATGAGATATAAAATGTCTATAAATTGAAGTAGTGATATCGTATCTCGTTGGAATAATTTTAAATTATTTACTACGCAGTGACTGATTTCTTTTTTAAAATTAGCGACATCTATTGATAAAAGTACAAAACAAGAGATTTTTAAGCATTTTGGGTCGTAGTATTTGTTTTAATGCTGCATATAATAAATAGATGGCGCTTTTTTAAAGCATCTTAATCCAATCATACAATTTATTGATACTTAAGAACCAGTTTTGAGAATAATAAAGGTATTTGGAGCCTATATTACTAATAAATGGTATTTTCCATCTTAATCCTTGAAAGTGGTACCCTAATTTATTCCAAATTGACTAATTACCAGACACTAACTTTATCTAGCGATACAAAAAGATTATTATGATGAAGAGCATTTTGCTTAAATTTTAATATTGTAATATTTAAAATAATAAAAAATAAGCTATAGTAGTATATTTTTTTGGCAGGAAATATAACATTTCTTTATATTTACAGTATATTGTTATTCCACCGCGGCGTTCGACAGCGGAAGCATTCCAAATCCTTATATCACATATGCTGGGGGATGCCGGTAGTCCCTATTTAATAGGAGTGGTAAGCCAACTTAGTTCCTTATACTTAAATTACAAAATTATTGTAATCATTAACAACACAATATAAATATTAAATCACATAAAATCTGCATCAAATATGTCATTTCTAAAATTTAAGAACACCGGACTTGACACTGGAAATTAAATGTTTCAATATATCAGATGAAAAGAGTTACATTATATAAGAGATGTCACTTTTTCATGGGGTGTGACGATATATATATATATATGTAATGTTTGTTTCAGATATCTGAGAGTTTGAAAAGATCATTAGGTTCAGGAGATATGGAGTCACCGAGCATGAGCGTGCAGTTCCGAGCGCTTCAATACGCGCTGTTCGTGACGTGCTTCGTGGAAGTGATCGGCGGCGCTTTCTTCCTGATGACCACCAAATACATCGTGAGAGATAAGCAGAAGGTCGACAGAGCGATTGCAGGTAAGAGGCTTATAATTAAAAAAAATACTTCGAGTTTGGGGCTCATAATACCTTAGTTTTGACCTGTTATTAAAACCCATTTCCACTGATATCCCTATGATACGTTACAATGGAAATGGTCTTTACATGCTTGTAGAACGGCATTTGTTTAGTGGAAAATAGTTGTGTGTGCTCTTAGTTGTAATTGGTCCGTAATATTATCTTTTATGTCAACTTCACATTGTTTCAGTGTCAGCAAAAATAGTATAGTCAGTAGGCGGTGAGTTCCAACTTGTGCTTAAAGTGCATGGCTCTTACTCATCACCATTGGGCTAAAAAAAACTCACAACTGGGGTTATTATCATTTTTATTTTTTTACTATGATGATTATAATTTTTTTTATTGTAGAAGCGGAAGCACATGGCAGCGAAGCTTCACACAGTCAAGCCCAGGAAGAAAATGTACCCGGTGAATAATTATTTCAGAATAAATTTACATCAGTCTAGTTAAAGGTTATGAAGTGTTGTGGGAGGTGAACTTTCACTATCGAATATGTTCCTCAGTCAAATGGCTAATATTGTTAGGAATGCGCTCCACTATGTGGGTTTATTATAACAATTATATAGTAATTTGATTGCGAAATGCAATAGAAAGACTGATTCGTAATGCATAGCATGTATTTAGACAATGAGTGGGTCCCGTGTGTAAGCAACGGAGTGATAGTGTACAATACAAATTCAATTAAGATTTCCCTGTAACAGATTATAAATGCCTATGTGCCTACTACTTAAATAAAGTAATTTATTGAAAATATTTATATAAGTTTGCAATTTGATTTCTCATAAATTATTATTAATTTCATAAATCAGAAAATGTTATATTTTAGATTTTTTTTCCTGGTATATAGTAATCAAGTATTTAGAAAGTAGCGGTCATTAAATGAAAACTTATGTAATAGATAATTTAGCCAGTGTTAAAGTTGGCACGTTGTACAGGAGAGTAGTCCTGTTCAGGACGTGCCAAATTAAGTGCTGGACACTATAAAAAATATAATGCAATTGTCATTGCTAAGTACAGAAAGATTAGATTTTCTTGTTATCGCCCATGTTAGAGTACCTCATGCACTTGTTGATAAATAAATTTTATATCAGATTTATTTATTTGTTACTTGATTATAATTTTCAATATACTTTTGATTTTTTTTTAATAAATACAATAAAAAACACATTTCTATTGGATATGTTGTTATAATGTTGTACTTGTATTTAAATCAAATATAAATCAGTCCGAAAAGAAAGGCGATTTTATTTTAATGCAATTTTTGATTGTTAAAGACTGAATTGTTTATATCAATGGGCGTTTCATTTTGTAAATAAATGTCATTTTTAGAAAGGAATTGAAAAAGAAAAACACAATATAATTTATTTTGCAAATAGTTGTTTTATTGCTCTGACAAGCATGTTCGTTCCTATTTAATTGTACAAAACAAACACATGATACAGTGAAAATGGCACTCTATACACACAAAATTATGTGCGACACAAACTAAATCTACCTCCAATTTAGTGAATTCTCTATAGCCAATAAGATTCAATATAAATTGCATTAATAAACTAAACAAAAAAAAATTACTTTTGACCAAGTTTTAATTCACTTGTTTTTTAGATTAAGGTTTTTTTTTTATCAACACTTATTTAACATTTGTGTATATCTGTAAAGATTGTTTCAAACAATCATATTCATAATGAAAAAAAAATAGTTTAAACAAAATGTCAAAGTGAATGGAGCAGAGCTTAATTTAACAACACAGTTCTATTAAGTATCACAAAAGAATGAGGTAAACAGCATACAATGCTATAATACTTATTTTGTTATCACATTGTAAGTTTTGTCATAGTTTTATATGGAATAGTCAGAAGTAACTATTCTTGTAAAATGAATCACATATGTGGGTCATAAATTTAATATCAATCTAAAAATATGATTTTCTGTATCATAGGTACATATTGACCAACAATACTAACAACACTTATAAAATCTAAAATAGCCTTTTAACAGGAATCATTCAATTAACATTCACATAAAACATCAGTCATTTATGACATCAATCAACATAAAAAATGTGGCACAAGTTTCTTACATTAAGTCATTGAAACTTCTTAAAAAATAATTAAACATAACATTTAGTAATAAAAATGATGGTCGGTGGTAACATTTGAAATTATTTAATGTCATTAAAAATAATCAAATAAACACTCACATTTCTGCTTCTCTATCGTTCCGTTTCTCAACCAGCATATCCTAATGAGCACACACATGTATGTTCACAAACACACACTTATTTAACTTTATTCACAAATCACTGAGAGTGGTGGGATAGGGTAGTTTATAAAATCACCTAATTACAAATAGTAGTTAATTATCTGGATATTGTGTATACTGTATCACTTTTAATCTGTTGAAGAACAACTGTTGGTTGTGCTTGTATCATCTTTCTGAATTCTTGTCATAGCACATGCATCGATTCTCAGTCTCTTTGCAATAGGCTCACATGGTGCACAATTGTCACTTAATCCTCTCTTTCCCGCAACAGCTACCTTCAAAACTGTCACTTGATCAGAATTGTTGTTTTCTTCGTCAGAATTATGTGATGATAATGTCAATTGATCAAAGTCTCTCACTTGAGCAGCTTGGATAAGGAGCCTTTCAATTTTCATTAGAGTGATTGGATCCTATAAAAAATAATACAGCATTTGCAATAGATAATGTCTGAATTCCAAAAACACTTATACACTTAATTGCTAACTAAAAACAAAAAGAAAACACAAACAAAAAAAGATTTATTTTTACCTGCATCCAGGTGTGGTTAAGTATTTGGTCTAGAGTGATTCTATTCTTGACATTCACTGTAAGCATTCTCTTCATGAGCAGTTTGGCCGGCAAACTTATTTTGCTCCAATGCTTGTTTGAATATCTGTACTGGCCTCGCAAAATCTGATCTCTCAATGATAGCTCTTTGTAATCAGTGGAGAATGGCAAGTAACCAACAAGACTGTAACCAAAACATATGTTACCTAAATATATCCAAATTGTATGAAGTCTACCCACCATTTTCAAATATTTTTTTTGACTTTTCTACAAACTTTGAACTCATAAAATTCAATTTTTTTAATTAATTTTCACTATCGTAGTATTTAAACATGTTTAAAAATATATTACCAAACAAAAAATATAACTCCCAAACTCCAAACATCCACATCAGGTCCATAACAATTCTGTCCATTTGCTTGCAGCACTTCTGGTGCCAAATACAATGGTGTTCCACACATAGTCTTCATAAAGCTATCTTCGCCTACAAATTTGCTGAGTCCAAAGTCCGTTATTTTTACCAAGGTTTCTTCGTCTTTACTCTCTAATAGCACATTCTCAGGCTATAATAAAAATAAAATACTGTGTTTTAAAGAATAAACGCGGAAATTACTAAAGAGATAATTTAAATGACACATTTTTTAATAAAAATATTGTATTCACATATTTTTAAACTATCCAAAAGAACATAAATCAGCTCTATATTGACATTACATGCAAATATTGTTCATGAAACAAAGTCAACAAACATCCATTTGACACAGTCCTGGCACACCTCTTCCACATTTATACATCTTCACATACTTATGCACAGGTCTAAGATGCTCTAATTTCTCATTAATTTAATAGAAACTTGATATTTACTTTTAGGTCTCTGTGAGTGATGCCTTGAGAGTGTAGGTATTTTACTGCAACTACCATTTGTCGGAAATAGAACTTTGTTAATTGCTCAGACAGCTGTCCATATTTTGAGATTCGATCAAACAGTTCTCCGCCTTGCATGAGCTCTAAGATAATATATACAGTATCACCTGTGTCAAAAACTTCTTCCGTTGATACAATGCAAGGCTGAAAAATTTAACATAGTCATTAGCAATTTAAAAATTATGAATAAATCTAATATTTTAAATCAGAACGTTTAGATAGATGGATGTTTGTTTGAAGGTATCTCCAGAACGGCCCAACAAATTTTGATGAAATTTGGTACACATGCAGATCATAGTCTGGAAGAACACATAAACTACTTACTAAGTTTTTTTTAATATGTCGCGGATGAAGATGTGGGAGAGATCTAGTTAAATGATAAATTAAGAAAATATATGAACTAGAAATGCTCTGAAAACAGCAGTACAATTTGTAATACTTTGCTAACTTTTAGAATTAATGTACAAAATATTAAATAGGGTGTCTTAGTTTTTATTATAATACTTACATGCCTTAAAGCCTTCATGATATTAACTTCGTTCATAATTCTCTGTGGGTCAGTCAAATTATTCACTTCTCCATTTGTCAGTCTGCATTTTTTAATTATTTTCATTGCATGCTTTGTGCATTTTGTTTTGTCATATACTAATTTCACCAGACCACAAGCCCCTTGTCCTAATATTCTAGATATGTAATACTTTTTAGATATTTCCTTAGGAACTTTATCTTGTTCATTCTTCAATAAATCTTTATAAATGAATACTGAAACAAAATTTTAGTTAATTTTTATTGTGTTTCATTCTACCAAGAAATCTGTTGTTTTAAAATAAATGTAGACTTAGAATTTGTTTAGATCTTTGGTCAGAACTATACCTACTTTTAGCATTAGGATGAGTTAGTGATATTCTATCATTGTCGTCTAGTACTCTGCTTAAACCTTTACCAATTGCTTTTCCATTGATAAATGTACCATTAAATGACAAGTCTGTTATTATAGCTGGGCTTAAGGGCTCCCTGAAAACATAATTTGTTAAGTTTGACCTACCTTTTTTTTTAATAAAAATACAATAAAAACATATAAGAGTAATAAATAAAGCTGAGTATTTAATAAATGTAGGAAGTATGTAGTAAAATGATGACTTTTATACAAGTTTAAATAAATAAAAATTACATGTTATTAAGAGTAAGCTTACAAAGATACTTACGATAAGTTTCGCTTAATGATAAAATGTTGTTTACTAACACTTTTGACAATACTTTCATTAATTATTTCTTTCCTCATAACAAACGTGCAGGTAAATGATCGTCCGAGGGAAAATTCAGGTTGTATTAAATCTAAAGAGTAAATTTATAAAATGTTAGTGCCGAAATGTTATGATAAAGTTTGAAGGTAGATTAGAAAGTTGTTACGGCAATCAATTCTATTTTAAAATTGAACTCTTACCGTAGTATGGAGGATTATCTTTACAAGTGTCCTTCCAACAGTTCTTTTCATTTAGGGACACTTTTGTTGAATAAAGCCGGCCCCATATCACAGGTATAAAAGATGGAGTATTAGGCTGGCTCCAATCCACTTGCGATTTCTGTGTTTGAGTTTGAGTACATTCAGTTTCTTGCAATATTTCATCTCCCATTTTGGCAGAACAATTTTAACTGAATTTATACGAAATTAATACCACATTAATGTTGATTTAAATTTCTCATTTCGTTAGAGCGGCAAAACAAGTCAACTAACTTTTAAGTTACGCTGCATTCGGATTCATTCATTTGAACGAATGAATTTTGATTATAAACCCAACTTCCGGTTTGCAACTGTTAAAAAATATCGGGTGCTGCCATCACTCACTTCAAATTCGATATATTTTGAAAAGATTTAAATATTTTTTTTAAAGAATATGTGTATAATTAAAATCCTCTTAGCTTGATTGATTGATTCATAATTGATCAGTGTATTTCGAAATTTATTATCAAAATGCAATTAATGGTACTCTTAAAATATTTCATGAATTTAACTGGCCATTAAAACTTTTGACAACATAAGACCATTTCGAAGTATTACTGGGCTTCATTCTATTTTAGAGTTAATTGCGATGAGTTCCATACTCAACTTTTAATTAACACGAGGAATCAATGCAGTCACGTGTGTAACTTTCATCAATATGGGTAGATATCCATATTGATGAAATCTTAGTGCCTGTATGTAATATCGAGACAAAAAAATAATATTTTCTAAACGCAATATATTTGCCATAAAAAACATATTTTTTTTAATTTTTGTATGTTTTTATGTCTGCCCACAAGGTCACGTTTGTTCCGATTAATCTCAGGAAGGGCTAGACAGATTTTGAAGTACTTTGACGGGAATACAGCTGATGCGAGCACATTATAGGCTTGCGCTAAGTCGCGGACGACCGTTAGTTTAGTACTAAGACCTTATAATCTACACCAGAAATATAAAAAAACACTCGACGTATCACGGAACAATATTGTACTAATTTGCACACATTAGAAAGTGATGTAATAAAAAGTCTAACGAAATGTCCTCAGGCCAGGATTTTTATATCCTTGGTTAGGCTATAAAAGATGTTTTCAAATGTTGCCTCTTTTCCGGCACGTTGTTAGTGGGTTGATAATGTACGAGTTGAAGGCATTCGTTAAGGCAATCTTTATGAAAACAAATTGTAATTTATTCGGAAAATTTCAATAACGCTCGTCATTAGCTTTTCTTTCTATAATGTACGAAAATTGTAAACAACGTGGCCTTCTCCTATCATTCCACGTTCACCTTGATTGCCCTTATTTATTCTGTTATTTAGAATTGAACGTATAAGATCTGAATATCACTTGATTGCACAAATTGATTTGAATATGTTTCAATAAAATGAAAGACTTGTCCTTTAGCTCGACATTATTTATATGTTTACGTAATATATAGAAAATCAAATCGAAATTTCATCATTTCATGTTTCACTGGGTACAAGTTCGGTTTCAACTAAGTGCTAAAATATCAGTGATTATTATCAGTGCTGATCGAATCACTCTTGCGATCAAAATGTCCGTAAGATACTTGAGACGCAGCGTGCCTTCGAACTCTATTTTTAATAAGAGTCTTACTAAGCTGTAACTCCCCCATTTAAGCATTAGGTGCCGACAAGTTATTCAGAATTAGCTATTCATAACTTAACAACTTACACAATAATTACCTACGGAATAAGAATAAATACAATAGAAATAAAGTAATTTTAGTAATAGTAATTTAGTGGGAGTTTAATGAAGTGAAAACTTTTTTATCAAGTGATTCAAATCTTCTTCCAAAATATTTTTGTCTAGTCATTGTAATCAAAATATTAAAGCGATTGTGTAACCAAAGTGTACCCGACTTTACGGAGTTTCTGACTAAACAAAAGGGTTTTGTAGTTAAAATCAAATAGTTTACAACAATGAAATGTTTAGTCAGGATTTTGATAACTTTGGTGGAATTCAGAATTTATGTCTACGCTTTTTAAGTTTGGTCTTCTTTTACACTCTATTTTTCAATTAAGTTATTCAAGCAATTTTAATTTTAATTAAAAATTTAGCATTGTTTTATTCAAGGTTTCATTATTTCTCATTCCTTATGAAAGAATTCGTTAAATTATAATTCTTATTGTTATCTCGTTAAATATTAATTATCTGTCCCCTTTTGTTTAATTTTCACTTCCTGCTCCATTAAGGGCCACAGGGTTAATGTCCTTTTAAGTTAAAGTAATATTATGTTGGAACATTTACTGCTGTCGTCCCTTACCGTTACCAAAGGTGATAAAAGACTGTGACGTCGTTTTGGCTTTATTTTTACCCACCTGACGAAATGATAACTTTTTTTACGTACATCTGTGTAATATGTAAATGCATTCCATTGTGAGTTTCCAGGGAATGATAGCAACATGCTATGCAGGCTTACATTTATCCGAAAAATATGTACGTTTTCGTGGAATAGATTTATTTTTCGTGTTTTGTTGCAGTAAATTACTTGCTAACACCTATTTAATAAGATATTAACTAACGACAAACGTAAAATAATTATTTCGTTATATTTCCGGTGTGAAATTTAAAAAATTGACGGAGGCCGCGTAGCAAATTTATTTAAAATTATCAGTGAAGGTTGACCGGTATTTAATCCTGTGAATTTAACAAATTTCGACCTTTTCCGGGTTGCAAAATATTAAATAACGTCACGGTTATTTTAAAATTTTCATCATATTTTTTTCCGCAAGACATGAAGTGCATCGTATACGTTTAATTTTTTTTAACAATTTTTATTGCTTAACATTTACGTTTTATATTTACTTATGCGTTTATATAAAAAAGGGGATAAAACACATTACACGCACATATTTTGGATAAAATAAGAAATAAATTTATTCATTACTGTTACTGGCACATAATAAAAATTAAGTAATGAAATGTTATTTTGTACGGCATAAAATATTCGAATAAAGTAAAAGTCAAAGTCTATGCTCATAAACAACTTATTTATCGGATCGGTCAAAGCAATTAGGTTAGCTCGTTCAAAGGGAGGAAAACGATACACGTGAACACACACAAAGAAGCAATTCAGATTTATTCGTTCAAGTAAGTCCATTCAGAGAAGATCCTTTATCACCTTTTTCTATATAATATCGTAGATCGTTGTTAGAAAAAAAGTACATTTTGTACACAGATCACACAATGCTATAGTCGTAAATATAAAAAAATTACACTTTAAAACTACAATAAAAAAAGCTAAGGATAAGATTTGGTTTTTATCAGGGGACTGAAATACCGTTTGGTTATTGTTTAAGATTAATTATAATTTTTTCAAAAACAATGGAAACCAAATACAAACCTGTATACGTACGTACATATCTATTAAGGTAAAGCCTCATTTGAGTTACATCTAATTTATATGCGTATTTTAGTGAAAACGTTTAATATTCTATTACCGTTGCCGCGGGTGGATAATTTCTATATACCATTTAAGTTTTAAAAGCGAGGATTAAAGCGACTCCCATAACATAACTTTTTCCATAATGTTTATATTTCATATTTATCCTGAAACTTCGTTTGTTTTGTGTTGATTATGTTTTCTAACATTATACAGAAAGGTTTGTTATTTTTATTTTCTGATAAGGGCGCTGTTATTATATGTGTATAAATTATTTACATGTATTTTGATTCTTTACTAGCAATCTTATCTTTTTTATAATCTTATAGAATATAGATATTGGAATTACATTCCTCTAGCTGTCGCTCGCGACTCCGTCCGCGCGTTATTAAAAAGAAAATTAATTAGTAGCCTATATGTTCTTTCCGACTCTATTCTACATCTATTCATCGAGATCCATACAACCGTACTGGAGATACCTTATAAACATCCATCCATCAAAAACATTTGTATTTATAATATTAGTACGAAGAAAGATTTCAAATATACTTATACGAAACATTGACTTTCAAAATAAACAGTGAAGAGAAATGTTAATTAACTCCATGTTGAAGTGTAATTAGTGTGAATAAACATTGTGAACAGTTCGAAGTGGAATTGGAAAATATTTTACATTGATGTATCAGGCGAGCGGATATTTGTTTCGTATAGACTCGCGTATGTCGTATTTTCCGATTGCAGTGGAGGTTGCTACAACACTCCTAGGCTTACACGCTAATGGAAAATTTCTTTTAATTTGCTTTTAAATTGTAAAGTAAGTTTTTTATTTACGTCCCTGGCTAAACTTAAACTTTGTGCTCTTGCTTTAACTCTTGAACATTATATTGTTTTGCTTTCTAATTATCAACATTCTATTCTTTGTTTTTTATAATTCTCCGAAATGAAGCTTCAATCGATTAGCGGATTTAAGTTATTATTTGTTGCTATAAAGTCAATAGTTAGTTTAAACATAAAGTTAGATTTTAATAAACATTTAAAAAAGTACACTAAATGAACTTTATTCAAACTTTCTCGGTCTCACCTTGGCTTGGCTTTTGAGTTATGTTCAAGGAACTTCACTCTCTGAGAATATTGCTCGCGTTTGTTTTTAAAACATGTTGAGCTTTATACTACAAGATTTAAAGAAAGCAAAGAAATAAAACAAAGTGAGATTTTCTTACGATGCAGGCAAAAATCTATGATTTAAAAAAAAAGGAGTTCAAAACTTATTTTTACACAAAAAGAAAGGATTATCGTGGTCTCTCGGAGATCCTAAACATATAGGAATATTTAGGAAAGTTGGGAAACAAAGGAAAGTCTTGTAATCTTTAGCTATTAGCCATTTTACAGTTTGATGGCCAAAGATGCGCATCTTTATTATTTCTAAACAAATAAAATAAGTTGAATGCAATACATTTATTAAAACAGTTTTATGCTTGGAACACTTTTAAAACATGACGTACTTTTCAGCGTGTGTTGTTCATCTGGCCTCAAATTCTTTTACACAATTTATTAGAACGTGATAAATAAGCAGACATTTTAAACAAACTTTTAATTTAATTTATTCGTTACATTAAATTTAATTCACATTAATTAACACTAAAGGTTTTTAAAATAATTTTTCACAAATATAATAAATTATTAAGAAATAATAACGGTTTTAAAGTATTAACTTAATTGATAGATAAATAAAGTCCAAATTCGGGAAGGTGATTTTGAGGGAAATATTCCGATTCCATAAACAATTTCTATATTTTTATCTTAATTACAACAATGCGATAGCGTTAGTCAATCGGTGGCGGGCGAAGGGTTGATTGCGATGTTTACTTGCGGAAGCAGGAGATTGGATTGAAGTAGCACTGGCGGAAGCGGACCTGCCTCTTGTCGGCGCGCCATTGCTTCGCCAGCCGCCCGTCCATAGCGCGCAGACCCCAGCCTCGGCTCTCATTCTGGGGCCAGGAACGTCCCACCCGGGTCAATCTAAAGGTACAAATTAAATGTATAAGTGTACTATTGAGATTTGGAGGACTCTAGATATACGAAAGATAAGGAAGATATAGTCTGTTAAGAACCATCTGATAGTTACTTTAAAATTATGTTATGTATTTCGATATATCTTTTATTATATATTGGGTTAATGCATTCTACATTTATTGATTGAGTTATCGTTATTTTTAATTCAACTAGCTTTAAATAACTTTTAATCCTTAGTGGTTTATATAAATTATTTATTCTTGTCGTGTTTATCATTATTTACTTAGAGGAATACAGAAAGACTTTAAGCTATCGCGCTTGAATATATTAAAATACTTTTACAACATCGAATAAATTATCCTTATGAATGTTTAAGATTCTCTTCTTTAAATTTAATTAATAGTTAAAAAGTGAATTAAGTTTTTATAAGAGAAGGAAATGATATTTTATTACTTTCGCAATTTACACTTTCACCTGTAACTATTTAGATAGACTTATCTAAACCTTAACCTTAAACTTTTGTTAAGAAATCTTCATTAATCTTATAAAATAATAATCAATTAAAACTTTTAAGAAATTAAAAAAAAATTGTGTGATATTTCACAGCCGGGCATACTATGTAAAACAACGGAGTACGCCGTCGAAATTTTGTTAAGTTATATGAATAAATTTAAGTTAGAGACATCAATAATGCATTAGCCAGTGTTGTCGAGACCAACCTTTCCTCAGCGTCGAGTTGCACCAGCAGTTTGCGAAGTGCAGCCGCAGTGATGGGGTCCCAGGGCGCGGACATGTCGGTCATGTCAACCGCCTCCGGCCGACTCACTAGAGCGTTCTCAGACTGCTCCTCCTCTGATTCCTGAAAATTCCAAAAACTTAGATATGTAGTCCAAAACAATAAATCTAATCAAAGCAACTTAATTTTAAATAAATAATAGAGTATTCCGAATATGCACTACTCCTTTCTAGTTAACTTTGCATATCAATGAAAAGAACTGAAAAACCTACATAATTACATGTGAAATAGATTTTAGAGATATACGAGTATATAAGCAAAGAGTACATATGTAAGTATAGGTATGTACATATGTAATGTAAGTAAAGCGACACTTATTTACTGGAATAGCGTTAAATCATCGGTTACCAGAGGCGCGGCGCGCGTAGTCGCAAAGAAGAACGCAGAGCTGACGAGGAGAATGAATAAGATGTTGTAATTGGCACTTGAGTTCATGGTTGATGTTTTAGATCCGCCCTGTAAAAAAACTTTCGGTTGACATCCTTAAAAGTTCTTTAGGTTTTATGATGATGATAAAATTGTAATTCGACAACCCTATTTTTACAATGAAACTATTATTGTAAATCTTTGATATGGTTTAGATAAAGCCGCTAGCACCAGCATTTCATTATATTTTTGATTGCTTTGATGTATGGCAAGAGAACTAAATAGTTTCTTGAAATAACCTGTCAGTCAGTACAATAGACTCAAAAGATACACGAGACCCTCTAGGCTACATTTAAATATGATTAAACACTTAAAATTAAGACCCGTTTTCAAGAAAATGTCTGTGTAATTAACAATATGCTTATTTATCACTGCATACAAACTTCAAGCTGTACATAAATAGTGAACGTGCGCATTGTAGTAACATTGAACAGAACCACTTTCTTAAGAAAATGTCGGCAGTATATTATGAAATAAATGAACACAAATCATTAAATAAATGAAATTAAACACTTTTTACTATTTTATATCAGAGAATTTTGAATTATATTTAATATGTGTATCTCTTTCATTCTGTTTGAAAAAATAGAGACAAAAAGATGTTAGATAAATTTCACGGTTATATTCTCGTAACTTAACGCTAACACAATTTCTATATTACATTTTATCAAAAGTTACGTTGACATATATTAAATTAAATTAGTAATATCGTTGTTAAAATAACTTCGATATAGTTTACATTAAAGTAATTATTTATTAGACAAACGAGCATTCGTTAAAGTAAATTAAAAAAGTTATTTTGACAATAAATATTAAGGTTACGTAATTATTTTTATTTTATGAATATAAAAATTTAGAAAAGTAACTGCACCATAATTTAAGAATAATTTTTTTATTGTATGTTGGTATATTTGCCAACATCGCTAAAAATATTTGAATTTAATATTTGAAGCTTTTAAAAATACGGCGCTTTGTGGTTTTATGAGTTTGTTTTTAAAGTTAATAGTAATTCTTCCACGAAAGATCTTTGGCTTTAAAGATACTTTTTAGTTTTTCATATTTTAATTTGAGTTAACTATTAATTACGATTCAAAGTGATTATTAATTTCCGGTGTTGAACCGTGAACGACATTTAACCGACGTACTGCAAACGGAAATGCCTTTGGCGTTGTAATTAACTGGAACCAACACTGACATTTCACAAGCTAAAATATTATTTGTGTTATCTTTTAAGTGTCACTTCATTATTAGATAATTATAAAAAATTTCTTTACTTTAAATGAAACGAAATAATTATGACGGTCTTTTATATTTAAATTCAAGAAGTAAGGTACTTTAAAAATAGTTGACAGAAAACTGAAACTATTACTGCTCAATTAAAATTAACTTTGTGGTATTAGAAATCGCAAATTTAGTGTAATTACCAGTATAAAGATTAATTCCTGAAAATTTATTTTAGTGAACATTGTTGGCCAAGACCTTATGCAGAAAAAAACGAAGATTCGTCTCCAAACACTGCAGTTTTTCAAGTATTCTAAAGGTAAGTTTAAAAGTTCTATTAAATAGAGAAATTGCATGATCAAAGAATGTAGCTACGACATATAATAAGCTTGTAGGACATTCGTTTTATAAAACATGACGTGAATAAAAATAATTAAAAGGGGAAATTGTAAAACTAAGAAAAAAACCTGACAATCTTTCAATGCATTCTAACTGGGGACTCATTAGTTGAATGGTCGACTCGACAAAAAGCTTTGTTACAATAGAACGTGTAATAAGCCGTGTACGTAGCATGTTAATCAGAAGGGAAGGTATCTGTGATCGACATTAAATGAAGTATACGATTTATTTTTCTATTTTAATCTCTTTGAATAAAACCGATATGTCATACACATGTCCTATCTCTTTGTGTACACTTCTGACATATTTTTAATTACATTTTTATAGTAGAAAGCGACAAAGAGCCTTATTCATTAACAAGAAATAGTACCTACAATTATTTTGCGATGTGGCTACAACTAAAAGTACTTTGCAGGAAAGAGAATGATTGTGGATGTAAGGAAAAAGATTGAGGTAAAACGTATATTTAGGTTAAATTAATTGTGAATGTGTTTAATTGAAATTAGAACATCTGTTTACTAAGCTATTTAATTATGCCGTTTTGAAATTATTTCCATGTCTATTTACATTGTTAATATGCTTGAAATATTGTATCTTATCTTATTACCAATTAAACATATTAGACGCATTAGATTGAAAACGAAACTTTAATCGATAGAGTTGTACGGATTTTAATTTAACAAAGTTATAGTGAAATCTACCCTCGTTAAGGTAACGTTCTAGTTTGTATGTTACAACCAAGTTGTGTTAATCCCTTATTTGGTTATTAAAATGATTATATTAGAAATATAACCACAAAATTATTTTTATTTATAAATAATTTTTTAATTATTATAACTAAAACGTTATTTATCCCGAGATTTTATTAAATTAAATGTGATATAATCTTTAAAGCTGGAACAAATCTTAGCCGAAAAATATTACAATTTAACGGTTTGATAAAGTAATACCCAAAATGTAATTAATATGTTGTATAAACAGGCTCTCGCTTTTAAATTTAACCTTGTTAAAATATTCAATTGTTTGTCGACTATGCGAAACCAATAAACCGCAATTAGTCCACCTCTAACAAAGCAATAATGCAAATCTACAGACTAAATTCGTTTATTCATGTCGGGATTGTTTATACTTAGTACATACAAATATAAACAAAGTCTTCTATCGGTTATATTGTTATAAAAAGAAAATGGATTCATGAGCTTAGAGTTAGTAATATTAAAGGTTTTACAATTAATATAATTAATAAACTGTTGATGTAATGGTATTATGAGATTTATAGTTACATGTATAAGACGCTAAAGCAGTCCCTTATTGCAGACTAGCTGTCGTCCCCGATTTCGAAAGGTTGTTATTAAAAATAAAATAATTAGTAGCCTATGTGTTCTTTCAGACTATGTTCTACATCTATGACAAATTTCTACAGCAAGATCCACGGAGCCGTTCTGAAGATACCTTTAAACAAACATCCATCGATCCATATATGTACATTTGCATTTATAATATTAGTAAGATTTGTTCTACTTAATCTACACTAAGGACTTTGTTAGTGATTATTAAACGAATTCGCCTGTGATAGACTAACTACTAATTTCCTATCTGTGCGAAATTGGAGTTGAAAAGGTCTACATATTTTGAAGTGATGACATACACGTAAAGGAAGCTTGTTTAAATGGATGATAAAAATATTGTCCGACGTCTGACGTAGCGATACCCACGGGATTCATATCGCAGCACACACTGAACCTTGCAAGGTTGGATGTTGCCTTCACAAATAATTGGCTTTAGAAGATGTTAGTTATTATTACTCCTTTCCCTTTGAAATATATTATGATAGTTTTCTTATTATAATAATAAAATTCAGACAAAAACTCTATATGTTAAACGAGGGTTCGTAACAAATTATTACAATAATTGAAAAGAGTTTGTAGTAATTACTTGTTTATGATTTCATAATTTCTTTAAGCGTGTTTATGGTAATAAAATGAATAAATTCACACAGAATTATTGTAGGGTTAAAGTCTATTCTCTGGTAACAAATATACAAAAATAGTAAAAAGAAAGATTTTTGTAATTCGTATGTCAAAAAAATCATAATCACAGTAAAATCTATATTCATATATTCCTTGTATGTATCTTACGCGTAAGTTAATTCAACCGTGAAATCTTAGACGACGTATTATTAATATGCTTAATCGTTTAAGTTGAATGATGACATAAAGTAACAAGCTTACGTCTCGTCCTACTTAAAAGTCGATCACGATGCATAAACCCTATCCGTAAGCTTTTAACGACGCGCTCTCAAACTGCCATAAGGGAAGTGGTTAAGGGTTGGCTAGTGTAGAGTAAACATAATTGAATTTATATCCCGTAATCCCATTCACAAAATTTGTCTCCCAAAAAGGGTTAAATAGGAAAAAAACTATGTTATATTGAATTCTTTCATAGCCTTTTTTTTCAACAACGATCGATAAGTATATCGTATTTTACTTGCTCGTAATTAGATTCATTATTGAGAGCACCTTAAAGTACAAAAGAATCTATTTTTAACTTTATTTGCTTTTAAATTACTTACTTATTTGGCTATTCTGTCGTATTTATTCGTAACGAAGAAGCCGACGGCAAGACTATTTCGTACTTGTTCTCATTGTTCGACAAAAAAGTATTATAAATTCCATTATTTGTTAGCTTTTTAACATCGAACATGTTGTATGTTGAATTAACAACTTGTATAGAAAGTACTTTATTATTGTGAACATGTCACAAAATATTGTGCACGTTAACGAAAAAATAAACAAATCCTTTTTTATATTTTACGCATTACTTCCGATTCCTAAATATATTCATGATATTTTATTTTTCCTCTTTTCTCCAATAACGCGATAACGTCAGTAAGTATTTTCATTAAGGGCATTAAGACACTTCGGTTTCGCGCGGTCGGTAGAAATCTCATAAAAATAAATTCAATTTTTAAATTTTCCCTTTCAACAAATTATACGTAATATGTATTTTCGGGATTTTATACATTACAATTACGATAAGAAGATTCTGCTTTTATCAAGAAAGTATCAGATGTGTGGAAAATATAAATTATATTAAGTTACAAATTTCTTTAGTAAAACTACTAAAGCTTCCGGTATCCGTAATTTTATCCTCAAAGGAAGAGGAAATCTTTGAAAAATTTACATAAATATAACAAGTTTTCTCATAAAGGTACTCATTTTATGCGATACGAAGTATCTTAAACTTTATTTTATGCTGTATCGAGTTTCCAAAGCGGTTTTAGTTTTGTTGCATATCAATTCAGTTTTTCATGAAATGTTGTAGACAAAATTAACAGTCTTTTAATTATTTTGAAGTATATAATTAATAAATTAACTTTAATAAGGTCAATTACTATGTAATGAATTTACAAAACATATGTTTTTACAATCTATAGAAATCGAATTATATTACAATAATATTTTGTTTCGGCGGTCGACTCTTGATATTGTTTTGATTCCTCACTAAATAATGTATTCATAGGGGTTGTTATTGCTTAATTTTACTCCAAGCAATTGTATTCAATCGTGAATAGAGAAAATAAAGCCAAAGCTTTATTACAAAAAAAATAGTTTTTTCACTATATTTGAAATAATAATGCAATATTCTGAAATGTTTGATTCTCCTTATAAAAAGTAAAGAAGTTTTATAAAAAAATCTACTTTTAACTTTATCGATCGAACTAGAAAATGAAGTTCAACAGATTCGCAAAATACGATTTCTTAGTATTAAATTAAGTATTGCGCCTTTTGATAAATATTTATTGTACACGGTAAAAATTGAGTGAAATAAAAAAGTTCAAACATAAGAATAAAAAAGTTAAAAACTTACCGTAACAAAACACTTCGTCTATCAAGTATAGTATTTGAAAGTAACTTAGCGAAATCACTGTAACGGTTCTAGTCGAGCTCTTACTTCCGTGTTACCCCTTGATGGTTTTTGAAAGCAAATGAGAGCTAGGGGGTGTTCCGCGCGGTTATATAGTGGCTTGGTCGCCGTGTCCTCGCTGCGTAGGTGCTGTAGCGCGGAGCTACGAAGCCGCTACGATCCGAGCGATACATGTCCCTATATACATGCAAATATTAATCTTTCACGTTATTTATCGTGCATCTTCAAGACTGACATCTCAATTTCACACGTAACCGTAATTTTATACGACTGCTTTGACGTTCGTTTAATTAATCGTAGACAAATTATGTAGATGATTGTTCGATGTTTTTGTTTAGCATAAATAAAGTTCTATTTTGGTGGATACAATGTAAATGTATGAGGAATGGATTCTATACGTCGCTTATTAAAAGTTTTTAATCGTAATTCAAGACTCTGTTAAGAAGGTAAACTTATCGACCTACGTTAAAACCAGTGCTGTATATTTTGAATCATTAGGAATAATTTATTTGCTCAATCTGTTTTGTCAGTCATGATCTTTGGTACCTATTCGACATAGTGTTTTTTTAATCTTATTCTTGTAAGTGTACCACATGTGATATATTAGCATTACTTTTTAATATGTCTTTTACATATATTTCCAGTTGAAGCCTTTTACATCATTTTTTCTTCACGCTGTGTATGACCTTGTATGGCTTAATTATTTTAACAAGTTCAGTCTTGTATGAAACGGCCTTAACTGTGAGATCACTTTTATTATTCAGGATAAATTATTATTACTGCTCATAAAAAAATGAAATACATTAATAGATTTTGGTCACATCGGAAATGGACGGATATCAGACATCCGATCAAGTAGTCAAAGGTTCGAAACCCGTCATTAAACTTATGTCGTATACCATTTCTTAATACATAAGCTTAGTTGAAATTACACATAAAATATTAGTACATATATAAATTAATAAGTGAAGCGTAAACTTTATAAATATTTAAAGGAAGTTATTATTATAAATATATCCGAAAGAATAAAAAAAGGCTTAGGGTAGACCCCGAGCCCCTCGGTGGGGACGTATAGTGAGCTGATGATGATGAAAAAAAAATCGCTAATAATGAATTATGGTCAAATTTCCGCAAATGGGCGACCACTAATTAACAAAAATCTGATAATATATTACCGAATAACAAAAAACCAAAGGAAAAAATCTCTATTATTTTTTCCTTTGGTTTTTTTGTGATTTATTGATAAGGTAGTTGCTAGTTGCTATGTTTAAAGAATGTGCTTATTTCACAATTTTTACTGACCAGGAAAAAATCAAATATTATCGATACAATGTCCATTCCCCCCCATGACGAGGTGATATGGCTCAATAATGATTTGTGAGTGATAGCAAACGATTATACTTTAGCAAACACAGCCATGATAAGAATGACAAATTAATGCGATATTATTGCTTTCTACTAAGCCCTCGCTACTGGAAAAAAGGAAAATATACACAATTGTTTCCTGGAAACTGTAGTATTAAAACAAAGGAAAGAAAAGATTTTATTGCAGTATAAAATTAAAAAATGAGACAACGGTTATTTGTCTTTCTGTACAAAATTCAAAGGCAAGTTTTTTATAATGCTATTTAGAAATCAAATTAATGTAATTTATAGTTATAAAAAAATGAGTTTGTATAGTATAATTTCAAGATTGTACATTTATAAAAAGTAATGGCTTATATATCTGTGAAAAATAGAAAATAATAATAACATACACGAAGATATTCTTAGCGGCGGATTTAGACATTTTGTATAGATAATATAAATTCGCTTCATGTATAAGGTATGAATACATTTTAGTACACTACTTAACGCGATAAGAAGCTTATAGTATATTTTATCGAATGAATATTATAATATTTTTACTATAAAATAATTGTGATTATAAAAATGATGTCTAAGCCTTCACAAGTTCTAGACTTGTAGATTACATATCGAAGGCCAACGGGATATGTTTTCTTAGTAACTGAAACAGAGTGAAACGAAAAAAGAAATAAAGTACTCTTTTACTCAACATTAACATATATCCATTAAAACATTTATAATTTTAAAAGGAATAACATGAATCGTGATATTAACATACTACGATTTCTCGGCACATTTAATTTTCACATTAAAATAAATACTGCTGATAACATCTAAAGGAAACAGAACAAAACATTCTTCGACTCATTTTATTGTACTGTACACATTATTATAATATTCATTTAATTTAATTCGTATTTTATGCGAATCAAGAATGCTTGTGTCCCTAGACAAAAGTTTTTAAAATCAAAAACATCAAAAAAGATTTTTCTTCCGAAGTTTGAGGCATTAATACAATAAATTATGTAATGACACGTGAGTTCATTAAAACAAAAGGTAAATATGGAAAACAAAAACTATTATATTTTAACTGCCCATATTACATTTGACAGTTTTTATATTTTATTGGTTTTTATGATGAGAATTATGTGAACTTTACGGCTTTTAACTAAATTTTAATTAGTATGCCTTAACTGTCCCAAAAAATATCATCTACAATTATCTATAAGCTAATAAATTAATTATCTTATAGTTAAGGTATACCCCTTAACATAATAAGTGAGGGACTGTTTAAGTGGCCATTAAATGTCTGTGAGTGAAACTATTTCATATAAATTTTATTCCTTAAAATGAACAATGCATTTATGGCAATTTCCATAGCTTGCTCAGTTCGTCGACACGCGGTCTTTGACTCTTAACTTCCATTAAAATCTTGTGACACCTCGGAAATCGTTTAGACACATTTTATAACGATGTTTCTCGTGTGGATGGATTTTAATTAGGAAAGCTATTTACTTACATTTTCTAATTTTGAAATATACTGATTTTTAATGCAAGGTAATAAAAGTTATAAATAAATATTGGCTTATATCTAACAAACTCGTAAAAAATAGCGAATTTATTTTATTCGAAACATAGTTCGTTTGGTCAAAAGAAGTAAAATAATAGCGTAATAAATATTTACACATTACAAATTGTTTTGACTTATCAAAATACTGTATATAAAAAGGATCTTGTTTCTCTTCATTTTGCTTGACTTCGTTCAGAATGAAAACAAATGAACAATTATTTTTAATGATATAATAATAAACAAAATAAAATCACGTACATATATTTTCAATGTAAATAAATTGTATAATGTTACCGTCCATCCTCCTTTTAAAACGTATACGAGAACTATTTATTATTATATTTAATATTCCTTTTCTATTTAATATTAAGCTGTGCCAGTTCAATAGCTAATAAATTATCATATTATATGCGAATGCATTAATTATATATAATAAATATGTGTTGAATATTGATAAAATTATATTATGTACTTTAGTATATGAGCATCCACATACAATATACCAGGTTAGAGACAGAGATGGCGCCACATTTGTAAACGTCAATAAAACTTAACAATACATTTTATAAAGCAACCGCTATAATTTATAATGGATACCTAAGTGCTTTAAAAGGGGGTGCGTTGCGAGTGCCGTATCCATTTGCTGTTCAACACAGTTTTTATGTCCATTAAAATAACTTATACTAAAACCATTTATTACTTACATGTAAATATGCATATGACACCTTAGAGAAGAGTTAAGTGTATGTAACGGCATCGTAGGCCGATAGCCGACCTCCATGACTTTTCAAGAAGAGGGATCGTAGGCTGAATGCGTTACAGTTACACAAATTTTCCAAATTTTTTCGTAGCACTATTCGTAACCTGATTGTAACATTGCTCGTAGCACTATGTGTAGCGTTATTTTTAGTACTTTTCGTAGCACTGTTGGTAGAACCGTTCGTAGTACAGTAAGTAACAGTTCGGAGTACAGTACTCGTAGCATTGTTCGGATGTATAAAATTTTAATTTGTCGTAACCTAACCGTAAGTGTCCACTGTCATAAAATTCGTACAAAAACATCTGCTATCTCTCTTATTCTGGTTGATAAACTTGTGATAAAAAGTTGTTTAGAGATGGGCATTTAAAACTCACGTTACTGGTGTACATGGTGCCATTAAAATCACAACAGACAAATTAAGTATACATTTTTTTACGAACAAAAAACCGTGATATGATTTATTGAACTAAAAGGTTAGTTAAGTAGCACTTATGATGGTCGTAATGAAATATTGCCAATAAAATCTAAACGTATTTTCCCATAAATCTATAAAGCACGTAGCATGTACTGTTTATTACAAAACGATGTACTCGCGGCAATGTTGATCTGCAATCAACGAAATTCCAAGGTCATTAATATAATTGGAAAACATTTATGTTATTGGTAGTGATTACTGTTAATAGAAAATTGTTGTTGCCATAAGTGCATGTTGATTAACACGATCCTACTTATAAATGTAAACAAACATTTGTTTTATTTATTACTAGCTGTCGCGCGCGACATCTAGTCCATCTATCCATCCACATCACATCCATCTAAACTTTCGCATTTATAATATTAGTAAGTTAAATAAAAAGCAGCTCTTCAAGGTATAAATTCAAAGAAAAAAAATGAATTAATAGTATCCTATGTCCGTCTCCTCGCTCTAAGCTACCTCCTCACCAATTTTCAGCCATATCGGTAAAGCCGTTCTTGAGTTATAAATAGTGTAACTAACACGACTTTCTTTTATATGTATAGATTAAAAAGAATAACATTGTAATTATAGAAATCCAAAGTAATTCATTATTTCTACAAAAACCTATTATTATTATTACTATTATTTTATTAAAAAAAGAAATATATTTCATAATAAGTTATTTTTCAATGGAATTTTACAGTAATATTTTCATTATTAAATTGTCTAAAACAGGTTATGTAAATTGTTGTTACTAACGTTGATAGACCACAAATATATCGCCAAGGGAGTAGATGCCAATTAAGAACCGAAGGTCAATTTGAGTATCACGCAATCAAGTACAAAACTACAGTAGCGTAAACCAATATAAGTTGCAAAGGCAAATAGGCCTCCCCAGGTGTCGTACTAAAGATTTACCTCGCATATTGCTCTGCTGTTTATTTCTAAATTAAGTAAGTTAATTATCATAGTTACGTAATTACATTCAATTTTGACGCACTATTTTGATTAACCAAATAGAAAGATTTTGAAACATAGACCTACAGACAAAACATGTAAAGTGCTTAGCACTGGATGGGATGGTTATATAAGTCAATCTACACTAATATTAGAAGAAAATATAATTATATTATTACATTCGCTAAAAATAGGAACATATGAAAGTTTCTTTGGAAAGTTTATCATTAAAAGATATATTTCTTATTTTACGTTTATCTATATATATATAAAAGGAAGTCGTGTTAGTTACACTATTTATAATTCAAGAACGCCTTTACCGATATGGCTGAAAATTGGTGAGGAGGTAGCTAAGAGCCATGGGACGGACATAGGATTCTATTTATTCATTTTTTTTCGAATTTATGCCTTGAAGAGCTGCTTTTTATTTAACTTACTAATATTATAAATGCGAATGTATAGATGAATGTGATGTGGATGGATTGATGGGTGGAGTACACTAATTAAGTTTTTTATATATCCACACGGTCGGAGTCGCGGGCGATAGCTTGTTTAAAATAAACACAACATCACAACGTCCGAGATTGTACTAGATAATATTAACTTAAATATATTTTCAGTTAGAATATCCAGTGAACCATAATTATATGTTGTTGATTCCATAAGCAGTCTAACGAGCAGACTGCGAGGCCCTTGTTACATGCTCCGGTGACCGCCCGCTTTAAATAAACAGCAATTTCTACAAACATCTTTTGAGATTATGCAATATGCTAACTGACGCCAGTGACTTTATTCTTGTGTAGGATCACCTTATTCATATTTAGTGCTCAGAAATTATATAGGCTACTTTTTAACGCAAAAAAGGGTTGTGAGGGATTAAAAGTGGGGGTTGGAAGTTTGTAAGGGAAAATCGTAATTTTTTCATTTAAAAGCTCGAAACTTATAATATTTTTTAGGCTCTTAATATGATAAAAATAAATATGACATTCACTGTTTATAAAAATTTTACTCTCAAGAATACAAAATAATTTTAGGGGGTGAAAGTTTTTTTTAGAATATGTGAGGTTTATTATCCTAAAAAATACATAAACTATGTAATAAAAAATACATAACTAAAGTTATGTTGCAATTTCCAAGTATTGTCCAGTACCACGCAGCTTTAAGGCAGCATTTCACGCGAACGAAGTCGCGGGCACAGCTAGTGTTTACATATATTATTATTTATGACTATAATATTTAAGATAACATGTCTCAAACCACCCTTGGAATGCTGGGAATCGTTACCTTATCTTGTAACCTATTTATCATATTTGCAGTTTTATTTTGAACGTGAAATTTTATGTTGTTCGTAAAAAAAGCTAAAAGATATCCATATATAATAAGATAATTTTATTGATAATGCTTATAATCTAGAGATTTTAACTATATTTAGATGATAGTTTTTTTTTAAATAAACAAACCTTTTCGTCCATAAGCCGAGAGTCTCGTCATTTTTGTTTGTTTTAATGTTATTTAAATTATGCTTTGAAAGTCAATTAAGAATTTTAGTTGTCGGTTTTCTATCGTATGTGGTTTTCGGTTCGCAGGCGATGTTTCAATTAAGACGTAATGTGACGTAAAATGATTAATTTTCTAACACTTAAATCATAGGCTTGTGATTATTTAATTAGAAAACAATTCCATATATTTACCAAAATTCTAAGCAAATATATTTACTACTAGACACAAGACAAGGTAGGTACAGTTGTATTCTATTATTTGAACACTTTATCTAAGATATCAGTTCACTCAATCAGAGATGATATCGCATTACGTTACGTATTAATCCAATGCCTTTATTCTCTTTACTCTTAAGTAAAAGCCTTTTAATAAATACCACAGGTTGTCAAGATTTTTTCTACGTAGTCACTAGTAAAAGTTAATTTAAAATCCAATAAGCTGGTTTGCATTACTCTTGGGTAAGAATGCAAATTAAATGACACTATTCTCTTTAAAATTGGTGAAACGATTTATGCTATTTGATATTAATATATATTATATTAATATCAAATAGCTAATAATAATGCGGAGCATCGGTGGCTCAAGGGTCAAGCATTTGACTTGCAATCTACATGTCCTGGGTTCGAATCCCGCCATGTACCACTGTATTTTTCGATTTCCGATTTACATATGTACATTTATCCAAAGTTCTTACGGTGATGGAAAACATAGTGATGCAACCTGCACATATCTGAGAAGAAAATCAAAGATATGTATAAAGTCAACCAACCGGCACTTGGTCAGCGTGGTTTACTATGGCCTAATCACCCTTAACTTAGGGTAGGCTCCGAGCCCCTCGGTGGGGACTTATAGTGAGCTAATGATGATGATGATGATATTAATAATAGCTATATATTTTTGCACACTTTTGTTCTAACAGTGGAATAATACCACATAATGCGCCACTTAATAGACTATTTATGCATTCTGGACTATTGTATGCAATATTATCAAAGTATTGTAAATAGAAGTCCATGCTAATTGTAAGCGTGGATAATTGTCCGTACAGTTGAATCCAGGTGTGCATTAAATTTTAGTAACCCACGTCCACAATAAGCTAGCACGCTCCATGAATCCGCAATGAGATGTAATTGCTATAAGGTCATGAGAATTACACGTAGGCACCATGAACAAAAAGTTAAAAATATACATTAAATTAAAATAATGTTTGAATTTAAATACTGATTGAAATAAGATTTATTATCGGAAAACAAAACGAGTTGCAATCTTTACGAAAGTATTTTAATAGTGGACCTTTCGTAGTGCTTTAAGCAATGTACATTTAATAGAAAAAAATTAATAACAATTCTTAACAGTTTGAGTAAATAAATGCACAGTTTACTTATTATAAGTATTCTAAGCGCAGTATTCTTTCAAAAACAATTTCAAATCTATTTGAAAAAAGAAAGCGAGAAAATCGTATCGCTGTCCTTCATATGCCATCCGTTGCTACTTTCATTCTTTTGTAACAGAAATGGCTGACGGTTGGAGCACACAACACGACATCGAGTCGTTTTTGCTCGTCGCGGAAAATATATACAAGGAAATATCAGTTATTCTAGATCAGAACATCATACGCCCTACTTTAATGCCCTTTCGTTTGTAAAAGATACACCAAAAATTATAGCATAGAAAAGTTAAATAACAATATAATGATCAATAAAAAATTGCCAAACTTTTATCGAAGGATGTAAACAAAGATACTCGGTGAGATTTTTTAGAAATAAGTAAGAAAAAAAGTACTAGAAAACTTATTTTTATTACGAGTGTTTTTAATGTACTTTTTAAGAATCTGCTAAGTCTTATAGAATGGTAAAAAAAATCCGATTGTAGCAAATAACTGTATCCTAGAGCCATCTATTGGCAATTCATACTTACTCTAAGATATGGCAGTGAAGAGATTCGCACCTACAGGTTCGCACGTACAACTTCGTTCTCTTCGTATATGTTTAATCTTAACACAAGATGTCAGTATGGTATTAAATATTATACAAGATAAATAAATCTCTTTGAAATAATATTATTCTTAAATCCGTTACTATATTGTGAATATAATGTTAATAGATTATTTACGGTTTATGATTGTATACTCTACTAGGAAATAAACTTATACTCAAATAATAGGTTTGAAAACGTGTAATTATACAAAAACAACGAACCCTAACATAACTGTCAGAAGTTAAGCGTACATATATAATAGGCGTGGATATTTATTTAATTGTAAAAACAAAGATTTGTTTTAAAAACTTAACCTCCTTCACACTTTTTCATGTCATTTTGTGCATGAAAGTTAGAAGTATTTGTATGTGTATAGAAAGTAAAATCCGAAAAGAGATAAAAAAGAATGCAAAAATATCCTTTTGATTTATTTTTTTATATTACATATTAAGACTTAAATTCCACTTAGCACAGTTAATAAATTATGGAACAATTAAAGGTATGAAGTACATGTGATTTTTTTTATTAAACACATCAAAATGTTTTACATGTTTATTATACAATTAATGAAATTGTTACCTATTTATAGTTAAAATGGAATAATAGGAAAATACAAAATTTCAGTATCAAATTGCAGCGTAAGCGTGAGGCGTTAGAAGCAAGTGACCGCGTTGAAGTAGCATCGCAGCACCCGGCCGCGCCCGGAGCCCTGTCCTCGTCGCTGCAGCGCAGACTGGAATAGAAAAACCCGTATGTACTGATCACCATCAACTCCCTGGCTTTATCCGACTCACATGAAGTCGGCACACGAGATTTTACAGTGTAAAAATAACGTTTTGGATTAATTTTTACGATCAACCGCCTGCCTGTCACCATAAAATAATTATTAAATATATTACTATAGCCTTCTATTAAAAATAGCCACACACATATATGTACGTAGAATTTATAAAATGCCGGTTATGGGTAAGTTAATGTAATTTAAGAAGAACATGAATATGTTTCCATCCACAATGTTCGTTCCATATTTAACCGACTTTTTACATTGTATTTTCATTCGATAAAAAGATTGTCGGCTTCTTATTTGCATGCATCATCAGCTCACTATACATACGTCCCGGCTGAAGAGTTCGGAGCCTACTCAAAATCATAGGTAACATAGGCTTCTTATTTACTGTGTTCAATTACTAATTGATTAACATCATAATCTTTTACTTTTACGTACCAAGTCGTTAGTGTCCATGTTAGAGATACGTAGAGGTGCGGTGCGCGGGCCGTCGCGGTCTACATCGTAGCGCGCGCCGCCCTCGTGTAGCGCCCTCTGTAGTGCCACCAGCAGCCTGTCCAGCACCAGCGCTGCGCGCTTCTGTGGCACTATCACTTGCTGGAAAAATATTATCATCTCATTTTATTTCATTTTTTAACAGAAATAGAAAAAGGTTTAAAGCAGTGGGCATTCTACAGCATTAACGGAACTATGTTGAAGACGATTATGAGGAGTGAGGTGTCACTTGATTGGAAGTCTCCTCAGAGTGACGTATAGAACAATCTTTTATATAATTTGAGCTAAACATGTCGAATTTAAATTCTCATTTATAAATGCGTCTTTACATAATATATTTATGTAGATATGTATTGTTATTCTTTCGTGAACTTCATGTGGCCTTTAGAAATAAACCTCAAACGCCATAGGCTACAATATTAGTACGTACAATAATAGCGTGTTAGTTGTTAGCTAATAGTAATATCGTAAACATAACAAATAATTTGTCAAGAACTTTCGTTGGGTCAAACAGGGTACAATTATGTATGAAATTTCATAGAGCTTTTTCTTCTGAAGCTTCGTTGCGTAATATCATATTCAATTATTACAAGTTTTAAAAAAATTAAACATTATGAAGAGATCTACGTAAATAAAACATACATCGCTGACATCATTGGCTTCCATACTTCTGGAATATTCTTCAGGGTATGCGGCGGGAACTGCGGACGCGGCGAGTGTGGCCGACAGCGCAACTGCTACAAACTGCAAGAACAGCATCATCGCTCTGGCATAACACGAACACTCCCTGTAAGTATTATAATGACATTTTAACTGTTAAGAAAGAACACAATATCTGTCTCACTCACTCTCTGCCCAGCTCGTATCACACAAGGTGGTAGAGTTGGCTTCCCTAATCGGTCTCTTCCACTTTGCTCCGTTTTCGACATCAAGGGTTGGCATCGAAAGACGACACTGTGTAAGTCTATGTTTTTTTGGCTTCGTTTTTAATAAACACATTATGTTCCTAATATTAAGTAATTCAAATATAACTTTTGCTTACTTTTTAAACAATATTTATATTTTTCGAAATAGCGGCGAATTGACGGCCACGACATACGATGTAAAAAGGCATTTGTATAATAACATAATACAAGTATCGTCTCCATACGTTTAGTTACTTTATGGAAAGATAATATAAGGACCGAATACAGCTCTTAAATTTAATAGCATAGAGTTTTATATGAAAAATTTACACCTACACGCCGGCGGTGACATTTATGTCAAAACGTAACTTTGTTATTTATTTGAGAGGCATTTACACCGATATATAACTGGCGGTTCACAAAATAATGAGGATACGAAGTGTACAATTATCTGTTGTTTTTAAACTAATAGTAGTAAAGCCAACAACAAGAAAAGACTGGGTTCAACGGAAAAATGTCGCGATATAGAAGAATACAATAGTACGAATTATTTATTTGTAGTGATACTATCACATTAAGTACGTCTACCTTCTATAAAGGGCGGCAACACATCTGCGGTTCCTCTAATGTTGTGGATGTCCATGGCTGTTGGATCGATTAACATTAGGCAACCGCTACTCGTTTGTTTTTGTCTTATAAAAAATACAACATTTATGATGAAAACAGAGCTAAAAATATTTCCTTATTATTTTCTATTTGATCTAATTGATTCGATCTAGCGTTCGTACTTTGCACAATATCTAGGTTATTTGTTTATTCTGAGAGATCTTAAATGACTTTTAATAACTCCCACACAGTTTTAGAGTAATGAACTTTATCTATATTTTCTTCACTATTTGTTTTTTCTTAGCTATGAACTAGTAACCTGATCCCATTGCATTTACAATTATATTTTTGATTGCTGTTACTTACGAGACAAATGAAACATTTATGTTACATATCAAATTACCATGTTATTATAAAACATAAAAGTAAACCAATTTATATTTTTCAAATCCCTTCATTAAAACTGTAATTATAATTTACGTGTTATTTATTCATAACCCTGGCCGAAAACTAATTTAAAGTCGTTTAAATAGTTTCGCCTTCAGGGTTGCTTGTTTACAAATTTTATTTCAAGTTCAATTATCAACACCCCTTCATAAAGCTTAGTTTAATGTAATTAATAACTTCTTTTGGAACTGATCAGCCTTAATACTATTAATGTTCTTAGTTTGTAAATTTTCCTGACAGTCAAAACTTTTATAAAACTCCAAGAATTTTTATTGTTTTAACATGAATACAAAACCTACACAGTTGTATTAGGTTCAATCCTGGGAGTATTTTGTGGACTTTAATTTTTATGAATATATTCAATTTATTTTAGAATGATTTTTTATTACGGATTTTTTAATCTGAATAAATTTCTGATTTCAGTATTCAGTCGGACAAAAACATTATGGAAACATTAAAAATATTTTTGATCTTTAACTTGTAAAGATGTTAATCTCAATTAAAAAGATTACCTAACATAATAATAGAAACGTTTTAAAACTCGGTTTCTTGAGAGAATATACATGATTTTTTTTTATTCCTTGTAAAATGTGACACAGACTTGCTTTTTTGTGTGTTTTTATTAATCTAAATAAAGAAAATGAAGAATTTGATATTTTTTGAGCATCAAAACGAAAGTGATGGCGTCAAGTAAAGTTACGAAGCTAAATTTATGTCGTCATAAATGCAATTGATGTAGAATGATAGTAAATATTATTAAAGGTGCTCTAAACATCAGGAACTCAAAGTACTACCGTAAATACCATCTCGGCTCAATGTTGTGTGGTTAGTTAAAGACGTAGACCCAATTACTGTTAACGATTTGCTTAACGATAATAACGTTTGGTCTTTTCCTTATTGGTAACCGGCATCATCTTAATATATCTATTGGTTACGAGCTTTCATTTATAAATCTGTACATATAAGATATTTATGAAAGATTATTCAAGCTGATATATGAACACGGTAACAAAACTACTGCAACTAGAGGGAACTAATAATAAAAGTTATTTTATGACATAAACGAGCGCTAATAAAAGATTTTATTTTGACAATTTTGAGAGCCACTATTATTTGTTGTATGTTCAAATCTGCCTTAGGAGTGCAATAACAATGGCAAATAGACAATATTTATTTCTAACTTTCAAGAAGTAATGGCCGCTTACTATTCAGATCCTTAGCATCGCTATACAATCGTTAATATAATATGTTAATTGGTCTCAGTTAATTATTGATTATACAATATCTTAATAATATTATTTAATTTACATTATTGACAATTGTAAAAATGCGAGAAAATAAAAAAGAAATGGGTCACATGTGTTGCGGAAAATCCATTTTGTCCGAGTCCAGAAGTGTCATGAAACGAAGGCCTAATACGCTTTATTGACAGACCAATGACAAGGCGCACTTGATTCAAGATGAGAAAGCTTATCCACTTGTTTTTATGAAGCGCAAAAGAATACGAAATTGTTTTTTGTATTATAAGTACGAAATCATGTATAACATGTATATATAACAGTTGACGTTAAAATTTTAAAATTTACAAGCTTCTAATAACCACAAAGTAATATATTTTCGTACCTTAAGCGAATTGTGTTTAGAAAAACAAATGAAATATTAAATGCAATAAAATTATAGTAATTAATGCGTACAAAAATATACGATAGAATAAATTTTATAAATGTTGTAAAATTAATAGAAACAACATTAACCATTTAATTTATTACTGTTTATAACATTAATCAAAATGTATTTAAAGCTCTAGAATAATTAGTTACACGGCACTAATATTAAAAAAGAAAAAATAATATTAATACTTACAATTCAAACACGGAATTCACCAATTTATATCGCACTTAAAATTGCACTTCGCAAAGTTTTTCGTAAGTAATAAGTGAAGGAGCGAGAGCGGTTGCTTGACGGAAGCTCAGGAGATTGTGTAGGGCGGTTTGCGCGGCGCCGGAGCCTTTATAACGCCGCCCAGCCGCCCAACCGGCCAACGAGGCCACGCGTTAACGCACACACTTACAAATATAATATTATATTGTGTAAAAAACATAAATGAATAAATTGTAAAATCCCTTTTTATCTTTATAATCTTGTTAAATCGATTACTGATAGTTTCATAATAGTTTTAATTAATGAATATATGAACAACTAAACTATCTAAAAATCCAGTTTTTTCTCGTAAAATTAGGTATACTTAACACAAGTTTTTGCTTGCTATTTTGTCCGCATGTAATTAAAAAAAAACGTTACAGCCTATGCGTTATTCCAGACTGTTCTACATCAGCTGTGCCAAAATTCATCAAGATCCATTTAGCCGTTTTGGAGACACGTAATAATCCATCCATTCAAATTTTAGCGTTTAATGATGTGCAATTTGTGATATTACAATCTGTGTTACTATTTTCACAAAACTACAATATCTCTTATATGAATAACTCGTATAGAATATGAAATAGTGGTTAAGTTGTACTTCTCTCTATATACAAGATTTAGGCGCTTATTTTAAAGTTTAATTTAAAATTTGTCACTAACCAATTGTATTAATCCTGTGTAGGTGGATCGGTAGTTTCCGAGAGGCGGCGAAAGTTTAGTATAGACAAAAGACCTTAATAGCTTTGTGGCCTAATGATAAGAAAATTTTAAATCTTTTACAAATTAAGGATCAAATACGTACGTAATAAATATAGCGTAAAGAGAGCTCAAGTGTGTATCGCATTACGACTATAAGTAAAGAATGTGCATCATCATCATCATCAGACTGGTCTGCCCACTCCTGGACATAGTACTTCCCAGTTCCTTTCACAGTATGCAGTCTTCTGCCTTCCGTATATGTATATGTATTACCTTACCTTTTACATAAAAACTCTGTTTCAAAATAGTTAAGTTTTTGCGTCCCGGTGACCTAATGTAGTCATCTTTCCCTTCCTTTTTCTTATAAGGAAAAGATAGGAAGTCGAAGTGGACTATCCGGATGAGAGGATGCATGGAAAGGGAAAATGTTTTCTTTCTGTGCATCCTCTCCTCCGTTGATAAAAGGTAGGCAACGCATATGCAATTGCGTATGTCTATGGGCAACGGTCACTTCGCTATTTCAGCGATTTAAGGCCGCTCGCTAGTTTGCCACGTTATGATATAAAAAAAGTAATAGATATAATAAACTTAATGTTGTATGTACAGAATATGGTCGGAATTTTATTTGAACAAAATCTCACCAATTTTACTAACAAGCCAATGGTTACCAGATGTATCTGATACTTTTCTGACAGTACATGATTTTAGTTCAAATAGGCTCTAAAACAAATACCAAATACGTATCAGTGCAATGACGTTTTTTCGGTATTATAAAGAGTACTTCGCTATAAAAGGATTACGCTTATACAGCTATTTTATTGCCCACGCTCACCGATATGACTCGAATATTGTATAAAGTCATTAAATTCCCACGTGAGTATACAATAAGCTTCCATGTTCATAAACAGCCGCTATCGGGTACAAAATTAAAATGCAGAAACGATATGAATGATGATACTTTGACAAACATCACTTATATTTTATACTTTGTTGTGTTTTGAAAAATAACTACATTTACAGTCTGTTTAGCAATTCTGTAGATGATAAGTACTTAAATATCGTTTATGTTATATGTTTTTAGGCTTATTTTTTCAATTACTGCATCATTCATCTAATATTGTGTTTGGGATTGAAGATTAGTGCAATATTTACGTATTTTTATGAATCGCCTTTTGGTATAATAATACTAACTGAATGCAAGTATGTTGTTTCGTTTCTATACAGTATCAATTTCATTTTTTATAAATGAAAAAACAATAACGGTCGTAAATCCCGTCGACTCTTATTCGTCGTTATTCCTTCACCTATTTTGCATATGATCGATAGAAGATACGCTCATGTTACAACCCTAATTTATAATCGTGACACAAATTGGATGCTCCGTACACCGATCCCAAAGATCGCTGAGGCGATGGCGACGTAGCTACTTAGTACTACGTGGTTATTTTTGCTCATGCAGAGGTCACAATAACATTCGCGGGGGCGTCGCGTCTGGTAATGCAACAAGGGGCAACCCCGTCGTCCTAATGTGCCGGTCGTGTCTCTCAGCACGGGGTATATAGCCCTCCGCCACTCACCAGGGACGAGCATTAAAACCGTGATCGCTAAACGTATATAGCGATCTAAGTATTCCACTTATTTTTATAATTAAACGATCACTTATTTTATGGTTGTTCTATTAACTACTTGCTTTTAAATTTAATGTTTTTATGAATCTACGTCCTAAAAAACTTCTACAACTTTAAACATCAGGATTACTATTGCAAATTAAAGTGAGCTTAATCTCTAAGTAGATGAAAATATAAGGCCGAGAAAACACATGCCTGCAGCAGGCATACATATAGATGGCATGTTTGGGCTTGCATGATAAAAGGGGCTGGCACGAGTGAATAATAATAAAATTTCTGACGGAACTTTGACGGAAAGGTAGCTGATACACGCCGATGTATAATAGGCTACTTTTTTTGATGCCGCACTAACGAAGTCACGGGTGACAGCTAGTATAAGAATGAAATAGCAGTAACCATTTATATTTTCTTGTCGCATTTCTAGGAAAACTTTCCCCTAAATCAGTTTCCTTTACTTTTTTCTTTTCTTATTAATTTGCCCACACATTGTACTGCTAATAGCGTTACAATGCTATTTAAATAATTTCTAATGTTTCATGTGTATACGTCTAGCACTAACAGGCATGCAGGTAACTTGCAAATGTATCTTTACAGGCATGTGGATTTGCGTCTTAATGTTATGTATAAGTAAATAATGTTTTTATGTATGTTTGTATTGTATGGCGAATGAGCTGTCATTCTTTTCGTAATCTTTGCTAGAGTCCTATTTCCAGATTTAAATAAATTCCAGTCCAAGTCCAGGTACAGACGTTTGGTTTGCAATCTTTGTGTGCTATAAAATTTCATCCAACGATATTCAAAAACGAAGTCTATTTTCGAAGTGAGAAATTTGAATATATTGCGTTTTATGGATTTTGTAACAAAACCTTTATCTTTTGATTTTGTACCGTAGGAAGTTTATTTGTCTTACTTGGCTTATGCTGAAATTTATGAATGGCGACTTTTATGTGACTTTATTTTTTAAATATTTTTTAAAACTCTAGACACGGTTAAATTCTAAAATAATATCAAAGTATTTTTATTCAATTTAACAACAACCACACGCTGACATGAAGACATGATCAGCTGGCAACACTGCACTGCTATGTTATCTGTTTTCTGCGAGACGCAGAACGGATGAATGTAAACTTGACAAACATTACGATTTTTAAGTTGATATCAGTGTTTAACTTAGTCATTTCTTAATTTGTTGTGGATTTTTATAATGTAAATATCTTAATAATACGTTTCTAAATAACAATAGGTTGTACGCAAGAAAAATTTAATAACTAAAAACGTAAATTGGGTTTCAGGGCGCGAAATAAATCTCCTAATGCGACTTCGGATAAAGACAAGAAGAAGCTCAAAGAAAAGAAGAAAAAAGAAGAATCTGGTTCTAGTAGTAGCGATAGCAGTGGAAGGTATGATTATAAATAAATAACACATTTTTTGTTCATAATATCTAGGTGTCGTATAGGTTATACTTTCAGCGTCCATATACATATGTATATCGATTAATGGATTCATTCTACTACGTACGTTTCTGGACGATTTATATTTAATGTCCATTACGAACGATAAGATATACAAATTGAAGGGATTCACGCTAATTAGCGATTTATTCTAACAAATATGTGACATTTTGCAGTTCATCAGACAGCAGTTCATCCCGCTCATCATCGCGCTCTTCTTCAAGCAGCTCCGGCAGCTCGTCACGGTCATCCTCGTCTTCAAGCTCAACAAGCAGCAGTAGCAGCAACAATGATCGATCCAAAGCTAAGAAAAAGTAATTATTTATTACATTTTCTTAATAAAAGATAGTAAATAATCTAGTGGCACTTCTGATACAAACTGCTAATACAACATGCTGATAATTCCTAGCAATTGCATTATCATGTTTTTGTGACCCAAAGTGACAAATCTTTTTAGTCTAAACTGAATTTGCTTTTTGAGTACATGCACAGCAATGTTTGTGGCAGTGAATTTCTAAGTATAGAAAATTGTAGTATTTTACTTTATTGATTGAATAATATTTCCTATAGAACTTCACCACACAAGAGTCCAATCAAGGATCGCCGTGAGCCAGATAGAGACAAGTTGAGGGATAGATCACCAACTGGAGATAAAAAGAAACCAGTACCACCAGTTGCCAATGACAAACAGAAGAGCAAGGATAAGCAGGAAAGGTAAATATGTTTAATTTATATTATTTCAAGGGTCACATGTTTTGGAGAACAATTTCTCAATTATCCATACATGTCTCCCACCAAGGTCTACTGTCTTTTTATTAATTTTTATTGGGCTAGTCCATGTATCTCTACCCTTAATCGGTCTCAATATATTTACATTTTGTTTTCAGGTCACCTAGTCGTAAGAAGAGAGAAAGATCGCCATTGCCGAGACCAACTCGAATACACATAGGGCGTCTCACTTTGAATGTAACCAAAGAGCATATCAATGAAATATTCTCAACATATGGAACTGTGAAGGTGGTTGAATTCCCTATGGACAGGCTGCACCCACACAATGGACGTGGATATGCATATGTGGAATTCAGTAATGCAGATGAAGCGGAAAATGCGATGAAACACATGGATGGAGGTAAAGTATTATATTTGAAGCAACTTCATACAACTGTGAAATTACTTTGTTTTAAATAAAATGTTGTGTTCAGGTCAGATCGACGGGCAGGAGATAACGGCGGCTCCGGTGCTGATCCCGGCGCGACCGCGTCGGCCCTCACCACGCGCTGCACCACGACATCTGCCGCCCCGCCGACATTCTCCACCACGGTACTTATAGACAAAACAGTATAATAAGCCTTCCTCAAAACTATCAATCGCTTTTTTTTACATCCAATATGAATTGATTATTATTGATCTAGCTAGATAGCAATGTACATGGTACAGTGATGATGATTGTATGGTGCAGGTACCGACGTCGCAGCCCGCCGCCACGTCGCCGCTCTCCGCCGCGCCGCCGCCGCACTCGCTCCCGCTCTCCGCGCCCGGCCCCGCGTCGCCGCCGTTCCAGGTCCTCGTCCGCTTCTTCCCGATAAACATTTGCACACACTCCCATACACTCATTTCGACACACAAACACACACACACCATGTTGAAGCAATCAAATATAAAATAAACAATAATCCAAATAAATACCCTTCACATGGTATTTACACAGTAACACAGAGTAACTCATACAAACCATACAAGACATTGCAGAACACAGAAACATTGCAGTGGTAAGTAGCCTTAGCTTGACTGGTAAGTATATGACGATGTAACATTGTTTCACAATAATTGTAGTTTAGCAACAATCAAGGACCTATATTAATTGGTAATTTCTTGTCATTAAAAGCTTGCAAAATGGAAACTGAGCAGAGTGAGTGATCAGTGTTATCATAACTTTAATACGAAAAAGTGAAGTGCTTATCTGTATTTTGTTCAATATTATTTGTAAAACTAAATGGACTACAGAATTTTGTTAATAAACAGTGACAACAGAGACTTAATTTTATTTCTAGATTTAAACAACCTTAAAACATGACATAAAAAATTTCATATAAGCTTCAATTTCATTAATCTAAACTAAAAATATTTGTAGAGATGGAATTTTAGCTATGAAAGAAAACCCAAGAAAAATATGAAAGATTATTTAATCTAACCAAGCTTTTAAGGAACTAATAAAACAATTATTGTTCATTTTTTATAGCTGTATATATTTTACTCAATTACATAATCTTCATTGCTGACTTCTTGATCTGCCTTGTTACCGATTATTTTGCAATAAGTCATATAATCAGTTACAAGAATTTTTCCTTTATACATGAAATTTTTATTTAGAAGCGGTAATTGTTGCATAGTTCTGTAACAAACAAAAACTTGACTCTACTTGAATGCTCATTTATCTAGCCCTGATTCTAGACTAAGCATATTTAGAAATAGTAACTAAGAAATGTTCAATAAAAATAGTGTGCTACTTACGGATATTGAGGATTCATGTTTTTTGGTCCTCTGACAGGATTCCAAGCTGATATAGGTGACTTGTTAGCTAGCATTAGTCCAGCAACTGCTATGTATAAACCATATTCTTGACAAAACTTTTCCTACAAACAAGCATATACTGAAGCAATAATTGAATCAATTCATTATAATAATGAAATAATTCTTGAAATTAAATTGATAGGATGTACACTGGAACACAACGCATTGTTTAGAAAGACTAAAAATAATATAAATCTCAAATTACCCTCCATTCCGAAAGCAAGAAGTCAGAATCACTGAGTGCAGTTGTAGCTTTCTCAATATCATTTATGCAAGAGAAGTGCGGTAAGTAATTTTCTTCAAGAAAATTTATAAAAGAACTTGGATTACATAAAAACTGATCCACAATGTCTTCAGGTGAATGTGACAATTTTGATTTTCCATTTTCTTCAGATAAAACTATAAATACATAATTCATCTGTTATGTTTACTGCTAATCAAGGAATCTTACTAATATTATTATTGCGAATGTTTGGATGGACGGATGTATGTTTGTTTGAAGGTATCTCCAGAACCACTTAGCGGATTTTGATGACATTTGGCACATATGTAGAACACAGCTTGGAATAACATAGGCTTTTTAAGTTATTTCATAATAAATTACAATATGATCTTTTGAAAAAAGAAAATGCCGCTATGGAATAAAAACTTGTAAACTCACCTTTAGGGTTTAAAACCCTGCCTACACCATGTAAGATGCTGACCGTCTGATCTTTGCCAAGTGACATAAATTTATGTGTAGTTTTTTTCTTCTTAGTTTTGCCTTTTCCTTTATTTTCCTTAATTATACTAGTCTCTAAGCTATGATTTATACCTAACATGATTACAAAAATACATTATGAATAACGACAATTAAAGATTAAAACAATATTTAAGTTGCAATCTTACCTTTTAAGCTAGCAAAATGTAAATTTAAAATAGCTGATCTGACATCTCCTCCAGAACTGTTCAAAACAGACTCTATTAAGTCTGTTGTTGGAATATTGTACAAACTATCATATTTTTTGCTTATTATATCAGATGTTCTTTTCAATGCGGCTCTCAATCCTGTTGTGGAAATACTGTTGAAGCTGCAGACAATGGAGTATTTTTCACATTAAATTAGTTGAAAATTAATTAAGCTTAAATATGACATTTACTCACACAATATGGTGAATCTGGAATTGTTCTTTAAGACTTGGTGTAAATATATTAAGCATTGTATTTTTGCTGTCTGAATTATTTTCCGAACATATGAATACAATTGGTGATTTTGCTCTATTCACATATTGCCTAAAAATAATTTTACATTATTTAGTATCTTGGTAAAAAAAAATAGATAAGTTAAACAAAATTAAACTCACTGTAAAACATTAACAAATTCTGATGGTGTTCTCATGAATGTGTTAGGAAAATCTTCAACCAGTACCAACTTATTACTATTATTGTCTAACAATGATGTAAAATTGGCTGCATTTATAATAAAGTCTAAAAATTTTTTAGATTGCTTCTCTTTAAATTCGTATTCACCTGTAAATGCACATTATAATTAGAAATATGAATGAGTATTTTTTTAAACTGCCCCATATTCTATGTAAATATATATATATATATATATATATATGATAATTTTAACTGAACACCTATTGTTAAAAATAATTTGATACTGAAGACAGCAACAATAAAATGTTATACCATAGATTTACAAGTTTAAAACGTCTATTTAAAACATATTATGTCTGTGTTGTTAATGATGGGGATGACAATAGTTTCTATATGGAGATTTTGGTGTCTGAAGCCCATGGTTAAAATCTCTTTTTTCACACAATATCTAGTCAGTCTTACCATAGTCGCTTGGTAACTCAATATCTACTGGAGTAATCCATTCTGTAATCTTAATACCATGTTTGGTTGCTAATGTTTGTATTGTGGCTGTCTTTCCACATCCCACTGGCCCACTTAGAAGTAATACATCACTTGAGTTTTGCATAGCATTTTTTAACCAGTCTTCAACTTCCTGAATTTTCTTGCTATGAACAGCCAGGTCTTCAACTTTTACAGGTTCAAAGTTTCTCAACCAATTTTTGTGGTTTATTATTGGTGTCTCTATTTCATACTTTATAGGTTTAGCTTTCTATAAATAAATATAACAACTTTAAAACCACTGTCATATTAAGTTACTTGACAAAATTATATACTGTGTAAGAGGAATTATATATTCATACCTCTTCAGACGATTTCCTTTGCTTTGGACCATTTTTAAACTTTTTTGGTGTTGAATTTTCGTCAATGTCAAACATAGGATTTAGCCATTTCTTACCCTGTTAAAACAATACAATTATCGTAAGCACTGTCGTTTTGTACAATAAAAATAAATTATGATTTCAATCGGTGCAGTAATAAATAAAACAAGGAATTAAGTACTTTGTGCATTTTAACTAAGCCATCAATGCAATTCCCCTTAAATTGTTTAATTTCTTATCTTAAATGTCTTTTAAGTTAAAACAAATTTATGTCTACAAACTGAAACTGTAGTAAAAGTCAAAGTATGAAATGTTTTGAAGTTTAAATTTGAGTTTCACTTGTTGTTTTTATTATTTACTCGAAAGAGCAGGCAAAGGAACTAAGCCATACAGCCTTGTCTTTTTTATTTGAGTTTCACTATTTTGAAGTTTTGTATGTGATTGGTGATTGCAGTTTGACGTTTAAATTCAGTTTTACCAGATTTCATAAGAGACTATAACGAAACTTTAAATATTTAGGTTTTCATTGTTGTGTCTTGGTTGCAAAGAGTATATAAAATTTGCTTGATTGTGTCAAAAATGCTCTTAAGATTTCTTTAAAAACGGTGTATTAACATTTCTTTTTATTAATTTACTTACTACGCAATAAACTTTATTAGTTACCTAACCTTTTAGTTCTTGGTTCTCGTAAAATGAAAATAAATATGCATATGAATATAACTAAAACATTAAAAAGTCGTTCAAAAATTTGTGTTTTATGAAAAATGAAAGAACATTCCTTTGCCGATATTAAGATATTGTATAAAAATAACAGTTCGGATTTACGAAGTATATTGTTAAAGTTAACTCCTGAAAATTAGATATTTTCAAGAGTAATTTTTTTACGAATATAAATAAAAAAATACTTTTAAGAGTTCAAACATAAACTAGATAAAATATTTCACCTTAACTAATTTTTAAATAATCTAAAAATCTTTGAAATCATTACCCTGACAAAGAGATGACAATTTGACAATTATTATTTTAAGCAGCTTTGTAAACTCGTTGCCAGTTACGTAAAATGTCTTGTCTTTAATATTTTTGTAAATGTACAATAAGGCTAATTTACACATTTAAGAAGTAAATGTTTTAACCCTGTAAGTACAAAAAAACCTTAGAATAATTGACTATATCCAACTCTATTATTCTTTCTTTATAATATAGGTTTTCCTAACGTGCACGAAGTAATTGCGCATTTTATTTCTAGGCAATGCAGGCCATCAAAGCTTTGGGAGCATCCGCTCCTTCTACAGTTCTTTCAGTGCTTAAAAAGGGTGCATTTGCCCCTGTAGTTGGACAAATACGTCAAACCCATTTACCGGCTCCAAATCCAAATGAAAGGCGCCCGTACTCTCCGTTCCAAAAACCAAGTAATATGGCAGAATATGCCGTTGCTAGGCTTGACGATTTATTAAATTGGGGAAGAAAAGGTTCAATGTGGCCTATGACATTTGGATTAGCTTGTTGTGCAGTTGAAATGATGCATTTTGCTGCTCCGCGTTATGATATGGACAGGTAAATTATTTGAAATTATTGATGTAAAATTGTTCTCTTGTAAAATGTTACTGCTAATCAGTAAATGGCATCAAGTTGGAATAGAACTAATCATGCATCACTAAAATGACTATTTACATAACTGTTGGGTGGAAATTATTGTAAGGTAGCTGTTGGCTGCAAGTCCATCCTTGGTGAAGAAAAGAAGGCTCGCTTTAAGAAAAAAACTATATGTATCTAAATTTCATTGAGATCCATTCAGCCATTCTGGAGATACCTTAAAAGAAACATCCATCCATCTGAACATTTGCATTTATTATATTAGTAAGATAGAAATGGTCCAGTGAACATTTCTATAGGATGATTCCTACCATAAGTTATCTCTTATTTCTATGCCTTTTGTTTTATCATATCATTTATAGTTGGCATGATAAATATTCATAATTACTTGTAATGAAATAAATATATTGAGAAACTGTTGGTCCATAAATTGACCATACAAGGATAGCAATTTACATATCTTAAGTGTAACTCTTTTTGTTTGATAACTGGAAAAATACCTACCTGTCAACAATAAACAACGGTCACTTTGCTATTTCAGCGATTTTAGGTGGCTGCTCGCTCGTTTGCCACCTCATGATATAAAAAAAAAATATTTCGTATTTTTTATATCATGATTAGTCAAAGCAGAGTGAGAGAAAGTATTGTGCACAAAAGGCATTTCTAGCCGAGACTAATAGCTACTTATGCCAAGCTAGGCTGTTGTATTATAAAATTATATTGAGAACTGTTTTACTAAGCTGAACATTTATTTTTAGATTTGGTGTACTATTCCGTGCATCACCGCGACAGTCCGATGTGATGATTGTAGCTGGCACTTTGACAAACAAGATGGCTCCTGCATTGAGGAAGGTTTATGACCAAATGCCTGAACCCAGATGGGTTGTGTCTATGGGCAGTTGTGCTAATGGAGGTGGCTACTATCATTACTCTTATTCAGTTGTAAGGTAAGACATAAATTCATTCTGTCCATTTTTCTGCATCAAAACCAAAAAACAGTTTTCATCAGGACTTTTTATAGAATGTAAAGTATGATTGCGGGGGTAAAAGGTGCTGCAGGTTGTTTTTCTATAAGGTGGCAAATGAGGAAGCAAATTTTAATTATTCTCCCCAGAGTTGCAGGCAACTGCAAATGTTAATTATTAGGCAATGATTACATTAAGCTTTTTCATTGACAGAGGCTGTGACCGCATTGTTCCAGTTGACATATATGTACCAGGCTGTCCTCCCAGCGCTGAAGCTTTACTCTATGGTATATTACAGCTACAGAAGAAAGTAAAGAGAATGAAGACAGTTCAAATATGGTATAGGAAATAGGCATTCTGTTAAATAGAAAAATCAATGTAATTTATCCTTGATTCAAAATAAAGTGATCATGTAGCAGCAGTTAATTCTACTGTTTTACTTTAAAATATAGTTTTTTTTATTGCAATATATTTTTATTACATAAAATTAACACACACTTTCCAAATATAAAAATGTATGCTTGGTAATCACGTTTTTTGACTAAACTTCGTAAATTCTTTACCAAAACAAAATCCTCAATTTTCAAAAATTCAAATTTCTTTTTTTCGGACAAGAAATCCGTATTATGTTATTAACTTAATGTTTGGTATAAGAAAATAACTAACCACAGTTCTCACGATAGTATAAAATTGTGTACATCTTTACGAAATTGATTTATTTAGAATTTTTGGGCATTCTAAGTTGCTATTGCCTTTCTTGACAATATAGGATAAGATAACAAACGATAACTATTATGCTAATTTGCATTAATTCGCAAAAAATATACGAACTGGCAAAAAAGAACCGCCTAGATGAAGTGAAGTAAATTGGTAGTCACTTAGTGTCTTGAAATCAATCCCCAATATTTACATTCTTCAGATTACAAAGCATTTTCAGAGTTTTTAAATGAAGAGGATAAAATACCAACCTTTATCCTGAGCACTGCCTTGCTTTAAACATCTGTTGGGGCAGAATGGGTACAAAAAATCGTATTGGTATAAAAATCAAAAGTTTTAATGGTATTTTCTGAATCGCACCAAGCTTTCATTTACTTTTTAGTATACAGAATTATATTTTTTTTGTAAACTATAATACATTTTCCAGTTAAAGTTCATGACATCATGAGGATACAAACCATTGAATATGCCTTAAAAGATTTTATAAATTTAATTTTGTCTGACTTGATGCTCATTAATTATTAATGTTAATGGCACATACAGAGTTCACTAAATAATAAAAATTATTCGCCTGGAACGTAAGCATATCTAAGAACACGCCATTATGAAACACACATAAAATGGTGTGGTGATGCAATGGAGTAACAATTCTATGAATTTGTAATCTACCTTCATAATGTATTTATATTTCTCAAACAGACGTCAAACAATATTGATGTCAGACAAAATGTATTCCACAATACAATAATATCACATATTTTTAAATGCATCAAAACGAAATGTCGAATGCTACGTAACAGAAATAATTGTTTTAATTACAAGAACACATGCAGGGCAGGAGTGGAAATAAATAAATAAATAGAACTCCACTGGTACAATCGAAAAACCATTATGAGATTTTTAACGGAAGTGTAGAATGCACTCCCGATACGATAATAATTTATGTGATTTTATTCCATTTGTATGACGTTAAATAAACCAATTCTATATTTTTAACACTAATTTACAGTCTAATATTTACATTTTATTTATAAGTATATATAAATATGTATAATTATATCGATAGCGATTCCGATAATCCTATCCTTCACATAATCAGCAATTTAATGTATAATTAACTAAATGGTCACAATAACAACTCGATAGATATTCTCAGTAAATAAACAAGCAGTAGTGTACCGGCCGGCGGCGACGAGCGCCCGCACTCCCCGCCACTCCTCGCCCCGTATTGCACAAGAGAAGCGCCCCCGCCGCCCCCCCGCTCCAGCCACACCTCAACACAATAAATAATTCTCTAAACCGATAAAGTGAAACGATATATATCTAAATAAGTCGTACTCACACTTGGGTGTATCGTTCACGCTGTATTTACATCAGTTGTGGGCGGGGGCGGGTCGCTATCATCGCGGCTCCTCCTTTTTCAACAGATCGAGGGGAGCCAGGGGAGCTAGGGGCGGCGCGAGTGGGGGTAGGGGCGCGAGCGAGCCGTGTGCACCCAGCTGTAGCGAGCCGTGCCCCGGGTGGGTGCCGTGCGGACCGTGAGCGTGCCCGTGCCCGTGCGCCACGTGGCCGCCGTGCAGCCCGCGGTGCAGCAGCGGCCCCGACTTGAGCTGCTGGTGGTGCGCGTACGCGCTCAGCATCTTGGCGCGGTCCTCCTCCGCCCGAATAGCCGCCTCCACGAGCGGCGCGAATCTCATGTGCTGCAGCGGATCGAAGGTTCGGTACGGGTCCCAGGGTGGGGGAGGCGGATACGCCGGCAGCGTGGGCGGCGGCCGCGGCTGTTCCTTGCGCTCGTCTTTCGGTTCGGGTACTCCATTCCGTAGCGGAGAGCGCGTGCGGGCTCGCTCCATTTCGCGCTCGCGCGCTTTGCGGCGTTCGCGTTCTTCCCGTTCCCGCCTCTCGCGCTCCTCCCTCTCCCGCCGCGCGCGTTCCCTCTCCTCGTGTTCCCGGCGCACCTCGGCCGCGGCTGAGACGGGCGGCCGCACCCCGCGCCACGCGTCGTGCAATCCCAGCGGTGGCGGGTGATGCACGCCGTGCAAGGAGGAAGAGAGGGCCAGGTCGCGCGAGTAGGGCGAGAGACCGAAGGCGCCGGGCGCGCCGGGGAAAGCCCCTGCGCCGTAGCGCGCGAACGGCGACACCCCTGAAACGCCCAAATCTCTGTGAGTGGCGAGGGCGAGGGGGGCGAGAGGCGTGAGGGGCGCGAGCGCGGGGCGGGCGGAGTATCGGCTGCTACCTAGGTGCGGGTGGTGCGGCAGGTAGGGTGAGGGCAGCTCGTAGGGCGAGCGGTAGGCGGGGGGCGGCGGCGCGGGCGCGGGGAAGGCGCGCAGTTTCTCCTTGTCCGCGCCGCTCAGCAGCGCGCCGCCCGACTTCTCCTTCTGCTGGTGATTGTATATCTCCCACGCGATGCGGACGTGCATTGCATTCCATTTTCCAGTTTTCTACACAAACAAAACATTTAAATGTTGATACGTGTGTTCACCACCAAAAATAACCAATAATAATATTAATTCCGTTAGTATAATTAATTTTTAAAATAGTGTCATGCAGGGTGTAAGTAATTGCTAAAGAGGAAGACCTACCGCGGCGGCGGGGCGTGGTGGTGGTTTAGTGGCGGAGTCGCTTGCGGCCGACACTACGGGCTGTTAACATGAGGCGAGGCGTGTTAATGATGACAGAGCAACTTAATTTGCTAGCATTAAAGCTTAAGTTAACATATGAAATAAAAAATACAACTATTTAAGAGAACCCATGTTCCATATAATATGGATAACAATCATAAAACGGTAAAAATACATTTAACAAAATATAAGTAAGTAATTTTGATTTCATTCAGTATAGCTATGAATTATTTTTTTTAATTAAAATACCGAAAATATTTCCGGTTTTACTACTACAGGATTCTAAACTAACTATGTTACTGCTACGGTATTGTGCTAAAGAATGAATGAAGAATCAACGAAATACAACTACCGAACTCTGTACTAAAATATAAGCGAAAGAGGTTAATTAACAGGAAATTAGAATAGCACTTGTATTGAACTTATGTTAGATTAAATCAGAAAAGCTGGACGTGAATGAAACCAGACCCAAATTACCCCATATACCAGATTCCAATCAAAATGAGATTTCGGTATAACCCATAAAATTGACTGACTGTTTATAATTGAAATAGACTTTGTCATATTTTACATCTCATAACGAAAGGAATACATTTGAGCATTATACATGTCACCCAAAGAATGTGAATTTCGTCAGTTTGTAATCAGGCTAAGGTTTATTATTATAGACTGATCTTGATCAAAAGTTCTTAATGTATAACCATGTCCAACTTAGGAATCTATCTCTTTAGCAAAAATACCTGAGGCCAATTATAAATTGACGAAATGTCTATTCGGTTAGTGGACATAGTTAAAATAAGTATATTGAAATAACACGTTACCTTGGGAGCGTAGGTGGTGAGCGGCGAGGGGGGCACGTAGGGCGCCGTGGGGTGCAGCAGACTTGATGAGTACGGGTACCCGAGTCCTAACCCCGTCCGGTACAATGATGACATTTTGCTAACGTCTTTAAACTGAAATTGACAAATGAAAATGACAAACTGAAAAACAATTAACGACTATGGAAAGTTATATTTATATTAAATTTTGATTCATATTGCTTTTACAGCTCAAAGTTATAAGGCTATCTAATTTACTAGACTTTGGTAAGGGCAAGTTTTAGTTGAAGTTGATGCGTTCTTAAACAGCTTTGCATGATTGCTACACGAACTATAACATGTTTCGATATTTTTTATAATTCTTATTTTATTTATTAACTCCTAATGCTATCATAATACATAAAATCTTCGTGGTAATATACATATAAAACTGTGGAAGAGGATTATTTGGTGTAAAAAGAAGATACTGACCAGTGGTGAGTGCGGCACCAACAGCTGGTGCGGATGGTGCTGCGTGGGCTGCGCAGGGTGCGTGGGGTGTGTCGGGTGCGTGGGATGCGCGGGGTGTGTGGGGTGCGTGCTGTGCGGCTGATGCTGGTGCACGTGCGTGTGCTGGTGCTGGTGGTGGTGCAGCTCGGTGCGCACGCCCACCGACCCCACGCCCACGCCGCCTACACCACCCACTGCGCCCACCGCACCAGCCGCCGCTAGGAACCGATTATCCAACTCTCGCCTCAGTAAATCAGCCCCAGGACCTGGAATACATTTGTTTTGAATTAAAAAAACTTCATTTTCATAGAAATCCGAACTAATATGTAACTTCCAATACATCAGCAATTACTATAATTTGAGTATATTACTTAGAAACTGCAAGTATTCCTGGTTTGTAAACATTGTTATAAAAATTTCTATTTTCTAACAATTTAAACGATTAAAGCAAACATGCAACTTACTGGATTGAAAAAGTGATTCTGCAGAAAATGGATTGGGATTGGGCGGCGCTAGCGGAGCACCAAAGAGAGGAGGCGCAGGGGGGAACGCCGGCCGGTCTGCTGCCGTTGGCCTGCTGGAAATATGAATCACCCCATCAAATACAGCGAACATTAAAAAATGTAGATAATATTGTAAATACAAAAAAACAACTATATGTAATACCAACATTTTTGTAACGATGGTTATGTACCGTCATATAATGCAACTCTCTCCTTATTATATGTGTTTATTGACACATAATGGTAGTCGCTTAACACCTTACATCCAATAGAGTCGCTCTGCGAGGTTAAAACTTTAGAACCGCGGTGACAATGAATGTATAAAATCTAATATATACCCTTTCTTAAATCTGTTTTTATAAAAGTATCGGTGATAATGTATGAGTGATGTGGCGGTATACTCACGTTACCCCCCAGTGCGCGGGCGGCTTGGCGCTGGAGCTGATGCTGGGCACGGTGGGCACAGGCGCCAGCGAGTGCGTCAGGTGAGCGGGCGCAGCGGGCGTGGGCGTGGGTGCGGCCAGCGGTGCCGTCAGCCCAGCGCCCAGGGAAGTCTGCACATCATACATACAACAACTGACAAACTCTAATTGTTGCAAGTGATCTAGGCTATTTTTTGTTCTGAATCGAGACAAGTTGTTAATCGCATTTGATCGCGCAAAGTAAGGGCGAGCTACTTAACGTTACTACAATGACCTTACAGCTTTGGTGTTTCAAATATTGAGTAAATCGATCGATGACTAAGACTTTTGTTTCATTCCAATGTTACCACATTTTGAAGAGGACAAATCCACTATCACAAACTTACTACGCTGGCGCAGCGACCCATTCTGGGTCTTGTCTTCCAATATATATATATACATATATAATGTACAAACCGTAAGCGGTGCTGCCAACGGTGCTGCTAATGGAGCTGCGAGCGGTGCGGCCAACGACGATGCCAGGGGAGCTGCCAGCGGAGCTGCTAGCGGCGCAGCTAGAGGTGCTGATAACGGCGCAGCTAGCGGCGCAGCGAGTGGCGCAGCTAGCGGCGCGGCTAGTGGCGCAGCTAATGGCGCGGCTAGTGGCGCAGCCACCGTTGCTGCGTGCGGCACGCTCAGCGAAGACGCCGACACGGGTGCGCTCGCCGCAGACGCAGGCGTGCTTCGGGACAGACTGCTGACGTTGCTGCTGAAAAAAGATCAAAAACAATTCTTTAACACCACAAGACTGTTATATCTGAAGCCAAAAAATTTTTAATTGATTAAACGACAATTTTGTTTGTTTTACTACATATTAGAAGAAAGAAACGTACCTGAAGCTTTCTCGTTCCCTGCCTGGGCTGTGCCCGCGCGGGGAGTAGGAGAGCGGCGCGTGTGGAGCGCCCGCCGCGCCCAGAGAGCCCGGCGTGTGAGGCCGCACGCCTTTCGGGGTTTTGGGGGCGACTAGTGGAGACGCTGATAGGCTTGTTCTCTGTAATTATAAGTTTCAAAGGTAAATCTAATGTCTCATAAACCCTTATTGTTTAATTTATATCCTTTAACGAACAATTCCAACGATAATAATGTTTTCAACGCATCTAAATCATCTTTTTGTGGTGTGTCATCTTTGTGGCCCAAATCGTTAAATTTTGCATAGTTTGATTAAATTCTTTAAGTGATTCTTTTAATCATTGTTTTGTTCTTTGAAAATAACTAACCGTGTCACTGGTATTCCTTGGCGAAGCCGCTGCTGGTGGTAAATATGGACTGTGTTGTAACGTGGTGGCGTAAGGAGCATATAGAGGAGGATACGAATTAGCAGAGTAAACCGCAGGAGGAGGAAAGCCATTAGAGGCGGCTAGAGTGCTGCTCGTGACGGGGCCCTCGCTCCTAGGCGGCTCGCCGGAGGACACCACCGCCTGTCTCGAATCCACAGGTTGTGCGAGTGAATGTGGATGGCTATTATTTGATGAGGGTGTCGTGATTGTTGTTGCGCCGGTGGATATCGGCGCATCCACATGATTAATTGGCTGCATCATAGAAACGGGCGGCTGCAGCGACGTTGAATGAGGTGGTAAACTCAAACCAGGATGTTTCATGTGCGAGTAACTTGACATAGTGCTGGTCGTCGTGGAAGCCAGAGAGAGCGGCGCACCGATGTGATTCGGTGTAGAAGTCGCTAACGGATTGGAATTGCTCATGGGAATACTTTGGTGGCTCATAATGGAATGGCTGTTGATAGAATGGCTTAAATGAGTCGCCATCTGATTAGCAGTCGATGGTATATAACTGGGAGCGATATGATTCGCGACGCTAAACGACGAGAGGTGCGACGGCCGGTTCGCATACGGCGATTGAACGGAATGTTTTTGCAAACTGGTTTGACTTTGATAAGGAATCGAATGGCCGTGAATACTGGAACTTATACTCGAGTTTACATGACTAGACCCGATTGTAGGGGGATACGAGCGGGACGCGGCAGGAGAGTGCGGCCGTCCGGGGACATTCTGGTTAGGAAGACAGGTGGTATTCGAGGAGGGGGTAGAAGTTTGAGGGAGACCGCTGATGCGATTGGAAAACGAAGTGGGAACAGGATGAGGTTGTGAGGAGGGAGGGGGATTCCGAACATCGTGTCCGGGCATGACGGGGTGTGACTGCGGGTGCGGCACTCGGCCGGGCAACGCGGCGTGCGGATGCGCCTGCGCGAGGGGAGAGGGCGGAGCGTGCTGCGGCCGTTGTGCATGGTGCGCGTGCAAGTCCAACGGCGCCCCCGCCGGCTCGCTCGGCTCCGTCCGCGTCTCGTGGTTCGTGTGACGATAGTCAGGAAGCGCAGCGGTCGCGTGGCCTTGGTACGCGGTGTGCGAAGGGAAGAGCGGCGAGGGCGCAGGCGGCGCTGGCGGTGCAGGCGTGGGACTGTCGGCGGCGGCGCGAGCGCCAGGCTGCAGCTTGTTGTTGCTGGCGGGCCGCTCAGGGGTGTCCGGGCCCGCCGCGCCAACCGGTCTTGCAGGTATCTGTGTGGCGGCGTGTCCATCGAGCGCGGGGATATGCGCGCTGCTTGGCCGGTGTGGGGTGTCGGCACGGAAGGGCGGAGGCGGTAGCGCGGGCGGGGGCAGGGCAGCGGGCGCCGGCGATGGGGCAGGCTGCGGCAGCGGCGCGGGCGCGGGGCTCGCGCTGCCGCCGACGGGCGCACGCGACAGGGCCAGCGCGCCGCCACTGCCGCCGCGAGCCACCAGTTCGTTCTTCCCACCGGCGCCCGCGCCCGCACCAGTCACTCGGAACAGAGAGCCGGCGTCCGATGCCTGAAAATATGTTTAAAACTATTTTAAAACCAGTAAATTCTCATTGTCATCTTAAAGTTTGACAATCGACTTAAAACAACAATTTAAATGGGTCTTCGTATTGCAAGTAAAAATTGTGTAGTTAAGCTACAGAAAAAACACTCACATCATCCATTGACACATCGTGATATCTTGGTGAGGCATTTCTACTGTTTTCTGGACTCGCCTGCAACAAAGAAACAACCTCATATAAATACAGGGAACAAAAACAGGGTCTTTTTGTTTTCTACGTAGACTTATATGTAAGAAAACGTGAATAAATGTTTTCAATAATATGGGGCCTATGGCGCGGGCTGATTAATATACGGCGGCGAGTTGCATAAATATAATATTGCGGCACGAGCGCGACTTTGATCAGATAACTGGTGCACTCGCGCCGTGCCGACCCGCGCCGGCCGGCAGCTGCGCGCCCACATGCCGCAAGTATTATTACGGATCCTATTATTAGCTGAATGTCAATTCATTAAAGGCGTAAGAGTCTATTAGTTTCTTTATTAAAAGGCAAATAGACAATTTATTGACATTCAAACTATTGAAATTATGTTGTAAGACACAACATAATTTCAATACTTTGAAGTATTTGAGTATGTATAAAATGTTGTAGTGTGTTAAGTGAAAATAAATTACTTTATGCTTTGACGTTTAATTAAGATGAATATCTTAAATTCTGTAAAAGTGAATGGTGTTAAGTAGAAAACGCATCGTTTAAAACGAATCTACTACACCCATGAAGATCAAGAAGTTGCCTTTTTATATTGTTAGTAAACTTTATGCAGTGTAAAATGTTCACCACTTAGAATCAAATTGAGCTGCAATAAATAACTAGAGTGCCTGTTCGAGTTACGCTTTCGAAAAGTACATGAAAAAAAGAAATAAATCTGTCGAATATGGAGGAGTTATTTTATTTATTATAACCAATTCGTATTTAAGACGTAAACGAAAGTAATTGAGATATATTTATGACTACATAAAGCTCAATAAAACTAGTTGGATAACCAACTCGTTTACGGTTATAGCAATTTAGTCTTTGAATCTTTTAATAAATGTAGGCGGAATTTTTGTTATGTGTAGGTAATTTATACTGGACGTAGTCATATAGGGTTAACAATATTTCATCTAGTGTATAATTAAAATGAAGTAAACAAGAACGTTTACATTTTTATACGGCACTACTGCTTGTCGAACAATAATTATTTACTTCCTCCAGTTTAATTATAACACGTTTATGTGCCTCGATAATAGTTAAGAAATGTTAACAACCTGTTATTACCGTCCAGATACTATCGTTTAAAGTTTTTTATTGTTGTTAGAGAACTTAATGATAAAACTAATAAGAGACATTCGAATTAATACAATAATTGGTGCTCACGAGCTATGGTGTAATTAGAACCTCGTTTTTAAATCTTGAATCTAAAAAAAAGATAATTGAAGGTTTTTGATCTCTTTTAAAATATTATTCCAACACTGCGATAACTTTATAGGAGACACTCGGACCCAAATAATGTTATCCAAGGCAATAAAGATGCGGTATTACTGAGCAATTCAGCCGACGATCATCGAAAACACCCGAGTGAGTAGCAATTGAAGCACTAAGGAACACGCTCAAAGGCAAGTGGCAAGAAGAGGCAGTGAATCGATCGGCCGTAAGGGGGCAAATCGTTTCAGGAGCGTTCCGGCAATTGAATGTTTAGTGTTATCCGGCGAGGGTGGGTCGTGGCTCCGGTCGCGTCGCAACAATGGACTGATAAATCAAGTATGTAGCGCGCGTGCGGCCGAGCGCCGCCTCCGCCCAGACGCGTGCACAAAGGACGCCGACTCGCCGCTCTTGTCACCATTCCTAGTGCACTTTTGGCGTTTTTAATTCGCATTTAGACATGCCCTTTTGACGTGCCGCTTTTGCAATGAAAAAAACTTATATTCCTGTCATGTTTGCCGCGCAATGGGGAACGTGTCATCCGGTGTTGTTAAATCAAACGTACCGCAATCGACGCCTCTATTATGAAAATTTTATTGAAAAAATGAATTAAACAACCCAAGTCTTATCACAAAGTTCTTAGTCCTTTACGTGATTAAAACGTTATTTCAGCAATACAATAAAATAAAATAAAAAAACATTTTCACTGCCGTGCTTTTAACAGAATAATGCAAATCATACATCCTACGATAGATGTCAGATTAGAACTAATTTTTATTATAATTTCATCGCTGTTTAAAAAAAACTATACTTAGCATATAAGTTATAAAAGTTAAATAGACATATTGAAATACTTTCACTTACAAATCTTTCACATATATTATCTTTTTAGTCACATAAGGTAAAAATGTACCAAAATTAGTCTACAAGATACAAATACAAGACATTCAATGAATTATGGAACAGTTACACTTTTAAAATTCAAAAACGTACTCCAGTGACAGCAAGATTAAAAACCAAACAGCTGCTATTAGAATCATATGTATTATGAATGCGTTTTGTTGAGGCACATGGGTCCAGCAAATAGTTTTATACATCTTAATATATGTTAATTTTGGAATAAATGTTTTCAATTTGCAATTTTATAGGCGACACGGCAGTTATTCAGAAAAAAATGATTTGTTTTCATGAGATGTGATACACAATAGCGCCGCCGCCAGCTGTTTATTCAGTGTCGGCAGCACGTTCATCGCGCTACTGTATTCATCGGAAATTCATATACGCTATGTAAATTATCGAAAAATACATAAAAACACATATATTTAATCAATGATTCAGAAAAATAGACAATTTATGTTTTATTATTTAGTACATATTGATTGTAAAACGCAGGATATTGAACCGTTCTATATATCTTAACAATTAAGATGATGATTATGGGTAATGAAGTTTCACATAAGACTCCAATCCGGCCGTCTACGCATATTTTAAACATGGTTTCAATGTTTGCTTAAGTCTAACAAACACCACGCTATTACGTCGCGTGCAGAGAG